CTGATGACATGTCCAGCCTGTCCATGAGCATCCTCACCCATGGGGCTTCAACCACCTCCTGTGGAAGCGCATTCCATACCCTTGGGGCCCTGACTATCAGGAAGTACTTCATGGCATCCATATTGAACCTCGATTCCCTGAGCTTTGCTCCATTGGAAGGCATCCTGCCCTCCTCCGCAGGGGAGAACAGGTCTTGACCCACCTCCACATGACACCCCCTCACATACCTATATGTTGCCAACAGATTCCCTTGGAGAAATTGACTTCTTTTTTCCCCATTAATTTGAACTGCATGCCACTAACATCTCCCCAGAGACCTCTGATTCATTAGTGGAGTCCAGCTCGTGACGAATCTGAGCGATTTTCTCCCTGAAATGCCTGAAATCCAATTGGCCCTATTGGATTTAGTGATATCTGAACCTCGGAACTACAGGTTGATCTTGGGCTAAGTGTCCCAGAGTTAACTTATTGTTAGCTGTACTGTGTGCCAGATGCCTCCCCCGCCCCACCACACTTTATGCTAGACTGCTCAGCTGCAGCAGATTAGAAGTTAGTTGAGATTAGTTTGGCCTTCACTTTCCTTAGCAATATTAATTATTACGGCATCCAAGATTGCCACACCGGAACCTCGGATTAGACTTCACAATATGAATAGGAAGAACTCTAAGAAATAAGAAAGGTTAAGGATTTTCACTGTAGGTAAGCCTTCAACTTGCATGAAGGAGAGCCTGCATGTTTGTAACAATACATTACATGCAGTCTATACACTGATCATCCATTGCTTATTTAAATTTAGGGGGAGGAGCAATGTGTTTGCCCACGCTTTATAACGGGGTGGCCAGACTGAGCATTGGGAGCCACGTGCAGCTCTTTATTTTGTGGTTTGCAGCCCATGGGCACCCAACTGCCACTCGCCAGTCACAGCCTCCACCTGCATCCGTTTGCAGCTCTCAGACATCTGACATTTTCCGTATGTGGTGCTTCCGTTGAGCAAATCTGGCCACCCCTGCTCTGTGATATTTACTTATTTATTTAAAGTTTTTATATACCATCAATTCATAATAAAATCTCAAGATGGTTTACACAGAGGAAAAAATATTAAAAACAATTATGGCAACAATAAAACCGTTAAAAGCCCCTTGGTGCCCGTCCTTGCTACAACTAATTAGAATGCATTACTGATTAAAAAACTGGAGGAATAAAAAGGTTTGGGCCTGGTGATGGAACGAATAAAGCATCAGCACCAGGTGCATCTCTCTGGAGTGAGTTCCATAATCGGGGTGCTATTGCAGAAAAGGCCCTCCTCCTCCTAACAGCCCTCCTCCCCTCTTTTAAGGAGGACTCTCAGAGGAGGACCTCGGTGGATGGTCTTAGGATCCAGGCAGGCTCATATGGAAGGAGACGTTCCTTTAGATAACCAGGCCCTAAACTGTAATATAACAGAAGAGAGTACTTAAAAGGCACTGCAAAGGAGCCATCTCATTTTAATAACCACAGCCCCTGGTTTCCTGAGTCACACAGTGACTACTGCATGCTGAACTATTTTTTCTTCCTTCTTCATTAAAAACTTCCTGTCTACCAATCAACCGAAATTTTGTCCCCTAAAACCCCTGATGCTGGGAATTTCTTTTAGAGTACAAACTTAGGCATGGCTATTCACAAGTAAGCACCATTCAGTTTAAAAATAAAGTTGTACTGCTTTTTAGTTTGTAGACAACCAAACACGTGCATGCACATGCACTTTGATGTTTTTCTAATCTAAGTGCTTGAGCTATTTCTAGTTTAAACTCTGCAGGGATGTGGCAAATGGTTTGTTCTAAAGTAGAGAAACTTTCTTACCTTCCACGCAGAAGGTTGACAAAAGAGTTGACTGTGAGGGTGAAGAATATTCTTTCAAGGGCTTTGTATGTCTCCAGAGTGCATTGCCTAGACTGGCCTTCCCTATCCTGGTACCCTCCAGATGTTTTGGAGTACAACGACAATTGGCCATGCTGCTTGGCACAGATGGGAGCTGAATTCCAAAACATCTGAATGGCAACAGGCTGCAGAAGGCTGTGACAGAGCTTATCACTGGCATCAGCCAGCCTTCCTTACCCAGGATATTGACATATGAGGACACGGGATCAAACGACAGATTGTGCATCACTACCATCCTCATCTACATTCAGCTCTGAGGCAAGGGGCTGCTAAGTTGATCAGAAAAGCATTTGGTGGTTCAAGACTACCATGTGTTCTGCCTGTGTTTTCCCCTCTGTGGAGTAAATGGTAATGGTAGGGTGGACAATCTGAAGCAGGAAAATAGTGCAGAGAGAAAACATGAAATACTGCAAGTACTGAAACACTGCACTTCCCCAACCCATTAGCAATCCCACCTGCTATTGTGCCTGTTTTAAATGGTTGCATTAAAAGAAAGCATTGATCCAGAGCTAACTCTTCCATCAGGCAAGTCAGGCGCTCACCTCAGGTGGCCGATGCGGAGGCGGCAGCAAAGGGTTAGAGGGGAGAACTGTGTGCCAAGCAACAAGGCCTGTGCCCCCTAAACAAGTCCTCTGCCTTCAGGGACAGATGGGTTGCTGTCCCATTGCCAGTGCTGGAGAGAGATTCAGGTCTGAGTTCACCTGGCACGGGAGATGGCTCTGTGTTGCTCCTTATCTCAGGCGGCAAAATGTCTTGGGCTGATCTGGAGAGATTAATCATGGCTTTCCAGGTGTAATATGTAGTGTGACCCTTCATCTTGTTGCTTAATTGCCAGCTCTTAATTTCTCTACCTGCATTTCATGCATTATTTATTCATTGTTTATTTCTTACATTTTTTATACTGCTCCATAGCTCTGGGGCTCCCTGTATTTCTAAATCACATGAGTAGTTCTGCTTGACTACTAAACAGTCTGGTATGATGGCAAGAGGAGCAGCTGTAAGCCTGGAAGTTCCAGGTTTAGGTCTTGCCCCTGTCGCAAACTCAGTAGGTAGCCTTAGGCAAACCATAGTCTCCCAGCCTCAGCTCTCCCACCCTCTCTGCAGAATACAAATAATGCGGCTGGCCTGTCACCTTACAGAGTTGTTGTAAGCAGGGCTGTGGAGTTGGTGCATAAAACCATTGACTCTGACTCCTTGATTTATGGTACATTCAGCTCAAACTCAGACTCCTTTATTTATATCTCAATATAGGAAATAAATATACTAATTCCATATTTTCTATGTTGACTTGAAAGTACTCAACCTACAAGGCATTTATCACTGCAATGTGAATTATCAGGCTACTTTTTAGAACCCTAGCCTGTTGAAATATATCTATAACCTGAATGAAATAGGTTAGAGATAATAATTTGTTTGTGAAATAGAAAATTTAATATGTTATTTATATTACAATCTAAATTTATTAGGAGTTGGAGTCAGTACATTTTTACTGACTCTGACTCCAGTAACCCAAGAATTGCTTCCTACTCTGACTCCACAGCTCTGGTTGTAAGGAGTACTGAGAGTGCACCTGCAATGTTGAACAATAAAAAGCCATATAAATGCTAAATATTATTACTGCTGTTCATAAGGTTTTGAAGCTCTACGGTAGCCAACCTTTATTGAGTGGGGGCCAAGTTCCATGGCACTTTTGTGGGCAAAAACATCCAGGAGCGATTTTAGCGAAGAGCCAGTACAGAGCCCTGATCTGGTCTGGGAGCTCCTTGCAGATGGAGGGTCTCCAGCTCTGTTTTCTCCAACACAAATGCAGGTTAAGCATCCACTGAAATGAATGACTGGCAGCTGTATGCTATAATCATCAGCTGAGAGCCTGCCACAGTGTTCTCTTCTGATGCCTAATGGAGGTCATATGCCAGTACAAATACTAGGGAAAGGGGCATTTATTCTGTTCTGCCAGCCAAAGAATGATGACACATAAAATGAACTCATTTCAGAACCACGAAGTCTCCTGATTTGTGTAGTGAAGCTTTTGTGGGTTCCTCTGCTTTGCAGTTCCCTCCCAGGCTAGGAAACAAAAGGCCACTGTTTCTATGCGTAAAGCGATGATGATGCATTCCAATGCACATCTACTCCATAGCTTCATCCTGGGGTTTCCAAAACATCATCACTGTGACTCTAATTCACAGCTTTGTCTGTTTGCCACTACACTACATCAGTTTTTTTTCTTTTTCTTTTTTAAGCTGTCTGAACCGCCTAGTGTGTAATAGAAACAACACTGCTGGTTGGACATTTTGCCACGGAAAAGCACTCTTGTACCTGGCCCAAAGGTAAAGGAGCAAAACACTGGGGCTGAAAAGCGGACAGGCTGTCTTGGGAAGCAAATGCACGTGGGTAAAAAGAATGAAGACCATCATGGTTCAGCTGATTGTTAGCACTGGAAGAAATGCATAGTCTCTCCTATTACTTCAGAAGTGCCATTCGTACTCAATTGTACTCAAAGCTGATTTGCACCAATGGGCCCAGTTTAGAATAGAGGTAGGCTTTGCATGACTGCTTACCCATGTTATTAAAAATACATCCTCCTTTTGTGTAAAAGCAGTGCTTCAGGGAAAACCCGTCTCTTCTATGTTCGTTTTTAAAAACCTGCTAGGAATTTGTGAGTGAGATTCAAGGACCATTCAAAACCGCAGTTCCATCACCTGCAACCTGCACATGCCGTTTATGTACATATAGATCATCTCAGAAGAGTCAGGGAAGACCTTGGACCACTCTTGGCAGCTGTCCATGTATGTCTAGGGCAGGCCACTTCCTATACGGAGAACTCTTCTCATGCCTACGCTTGAACATGTAGTAGCTGTCCTGATCAGGGTCTACGTATCAACGCACAAACAAAGGCATGGTAGGTCTCTCACATTTCCTTCCTCCCAAGTGCCAGCCAAAACCCAAGATGAGAGGCTGCACCTTGTTGTTGGGCCTTGTTCTGCAAATCCTCCCAAGGTGCAAGAGTTATTGTTGGGTCTGTGACCTCACAATAAAGACTGGTTGATTATTGGTGCTTATCTATTGCCTCCTTTCTTTTCCAGGCTACTTTTCACAGCCCAGAGTTCTGAGGAGGATGAGCCAACAGGATGGGGAGCAAGCTAATCTGTCCCATTCCCTCTTCGATGCCTTTCTCCGTGCCAAGCAGTGCAAAGAGGTGCTGGAGAATTTTGAAGCACTGTGCAGACATCTGGGTCTAGAACACACTGGCCAACTCCTGTTCTATCACAAGCTCAAATCTTGTCTAAACTATTGGAGTGCCAAGGCTTTGTGGACCAAGCTAGACAAGAAAGCTGGACACAGAGACTATGATCAGGGGAGAGCATGCGCCAGAACCAAGGTAAGGTTACTATGCTATGGCCAGAGAATGGCTATTTGATAGGTTATTGTGAGATAATGAACACTGTGGGCTTCTCTGTGGTTTCATGGCGTTCCACAGTTGCTGTTGCACCAAGATTGTTCTGCTGCTGTGGAGGGAAGACAGTTCTTCTTCTTGGTTTAGTGTTTTATCTCTGCTTCTTAGTTCTTTGTCTACAAAAGCTGATGGTGTTATTCTACTTCCACAGTCTTAAATGGGAGTTCCTGCTGATAATGGTGGTGTTTAAACTGGTTTACAAACATGGGCACGATTTTAAACCACTAGAACACTCACTTCCTCTTTATTGTTTTAAGAGATTGTCCATGATCACAAACCCTGCAAAATGGGAGAAAAATCTGAGTGTTCCCCCAAATTCACTTTTGCACATTACAATCTGGGTGCTTTCATGTATGTTCAGATGCACTCACTTCACCTAGCATATGGAAAAAAAATCTCTTCAGAGATATCACGGTTTAAATGACTGGTCAGTAAGTCTAGATTTAAATCATGGTTTTCTACATAATTTGCACACATGCCTGGCTTACCCGTAGGTAGAGGAACTTCATTACAATATTCTAAGACTGGGTCTCTTTCATGGCCTACTGCCATTATAGGTTTTCTCCTCCAGAGCAATAATAACATGATAAACCTCAAGCTATATACAAAAAGATCCAAACACTAGTGGTTTTTCTGCTCAAAAGGTTTTGCTTTCATTTTTACTGCTTGCCCCTTCCTTCCCACACTTGGGTTCTTGTGCAGCTCGATTCCACTTGCAATGATCGGTCCCTGTTCATTGAATTTTTTTTTGAAACTTAGCACTTAAGAGGTAAGGTGTTGGTTCTGTGTACATAGACTTGCAAAGGAACAAGAGGATTGAATGTTTTTTTCTGAACTCTGTATGTTTGTTTTATAACATCATTGCATGTGATAAAGAGACATGTGATCTCCATGGACACAAATTCACAGTTTTGAGAACTATTAAAATAAACATCTATGAGAATATCTTCTACACAGAAAAATTGCTCAATAATCTTACAGAAACCTCTGGAAGAGCATGACATTGTGAATGAATTAATGGAATTCATTTACCACCAAATTTAAATATTGCATGAATATACAGTTTCATGCTACATAATGAAAAACTAATCCTTATTTCGTGATGAATAACTGTTAGACTATAATGTGTCTTAAATAGAAAACTATCTTTAGATAGATATTTCCTCAAAAAGCATTTTATTTCCCAAAAAATCTAATTTAAATAAAAATGCCATAATCTGATTTAATTTTTTAAAAATCTGACTTTTAAATTTTTTTTAAAGGAATCACTGATTTTTATCTACTCTGGTGCCCCGTGACATTCTGAACAGCAAACTTTCTAACTATTAGGTGGATTCACAGTTGGATACAACATCAAACCCAAAGAATACTTATCAATGGTACCTTCTCAAACCAGGGAGAGCTAACAAGTGGGCTACCTCAGAGCTCAATCCTGAGATCCATGCTCTTCAACATTTTTTTAATGGCTTGGACAGGGAAGTGCAGGGAACGCTGATCAAATTTGTAGGTGATATGAAATTGGGTGGGATAGCTAATACCATAGGAGTCAGAAACAACACTCCAAGTGATCTGGATAGATGGATTCTGGGCTGAAAGCAGTAGAATGAAATTTAACAGGGACGAATGCCAAGCTCTGCACCTAAGAAAAAGAAATCAAATGCATAAATATAAGTTGGGGGATACTTGGCTTAACAGTACTAAAAGTGAGAAGAATCTCGGAACTGTAGATTACAAGTGGAATATGAGCCAACAATGTGATGTGACTGCAACATGAAAAAGAAAAAAAAGACAGAAAAAGAAACACTGCTTTGGGCTGCACTAATGAAAGTATAGCTTTCAAGTCACATGAGGTGGCGGTTCCCCTTTCTTTAGCTGACACTAGTTAGGCCCCATCTGGAATACTGCATCCAGTTCTGGGCTCCACAGTGAGAGAAAGATTCCAACAAACTGGAAAAAGGTTCAGAGCAGGGCAGCACAGGTGATCACAGTATCATAGAGCAAAGCCCTGTGAAGAGCGATGGGAAGAACTGGACGTGCTTAGTTTGGAGAAGAGGAGACTGAGGGGAGATATGATAGCTCTTGCCCTGCACTCTTTCAGGTATTGGATAGGAAGCCAAATTCTAGCCGAACATCAGGGAAACTTCCTGGCTGTTGTATGGGGATGGAACCAGTCACCTAGGGAGGTGATGGGAGCCTGTGGAAGGGTGTTGAGAGGGGGATGCACAATGAGAATGGGATAGAAAGGAGAGGGAGGTGCTATGCCAGTATCTCCATCTAACCCCCACCAAGGATACATTCCCTGTTGTTGCTGCTGTTGTTAGGTGCCATCAAGTCGTCTCCATCTTATGGTAACCCTATGAATGAAAGACCTCCAAAATGCCGTTCTTGATAGCATTGCTTAGCCCTTGTAGTCTCTATGCTGTGGCTTCCTTTATGGAACTGATCCATCTTACAGTTGGTCGTCTTCTGCCTTCAGCTTTCCCTTGCATTACTGCAGAAGTTATATCCTTCATCTACCATGCGTGGAAAAAATACAGTGCTTTGACTTGAACCAGCAGGAGTTTATGACACAGAGGTTAGAACTGTGCTTAGAACTGATGTCAAGATAAGACTTAAGTGTATACATGTAACCTGAGAGCAGAACTCGGAAGCACGTAGCAGATTTTGGTGGAACCGGAAAAAGCAAATGGCTGGATCTGCAGTGACTTGTTGGGTGTGATGTCAGGATGGACAGCGGCAGGGGCTGGGATGCTTCGCTGTTTTGAAATGTCAGCCTCTAGTGCAAAAATTCTCAGTGGGTGTTTAAAAGTTTCCTGTTAGCAGGATCTGTAACAATGCTTTATTCAAACGCTGGCTCTCCGTGCATGCAAATGAGTGGCTGTTTGCTGGGAGGCAGTGCTGAAGCAGGCAAGTCATTCTGTGTGGGCCAGCCACACTTGTGCTCCTAGCCCCGTCAGTTTTGAAAGAGCAACCCCAGAAGATGGTGTGTGCATTGTAGTGGTGGAGGGGACAAGCTGATAGCCTTCGAAAACTATTTAGAAAAGGATAGCTTGGGGGATGTCTTGTTAAATAGTTCGAAAAGCATGCAGAGGAGGAGATGCAGGACGGATAGGGATAGGCACGGTAATTCAGCGTGAATGATGCCACAGTTGAGTAGCGGTATTCATTCCGCCCACGTTACACAAGGCACTTGCAGATCTGGTTCACATGTAACGCCAACTGGTGGATTATTTAGCCCATGAACGGCTGTTTGCCCTAACAACCCAGAATTCCAGGTTTTTAAATTGCTTTAGACAGTCCAAGAATGGTACAATGGGGCATTCCTGGATTGCTAATTAAAACTGATTGAAGGCAGATGTGGCAAGTCCGTGGAAGTCAGCATGCTTGTTCCTTCATTCACAGCCTGGACAACAAACCATAGATTGTGATTACAAGCCAACTGGGTCACATTGGGAATAGGCATGGTTAACTGGCAAAGGAATTGTATTGCCCACGGCCCAAACAAAATAATTGTAGCCCTACTGTTGGGAAAGTGAGATTTCCCGATAGCAGAAGTGCCTCCTTGAAGAAAGGCACTGGAATCTCCTACAGCAGAAATAAGCAACTTGTACCCCCAAAATGTTTTGCAGAAGTGGTCCCGTTAACCGTAGCCAGCATAGCCAATGGCAAAGGCAGATGGGAGTTGTAGGCCAAAACATCTTGTGGGCTAGAAGTTGCTTCCGAGTAATAATCACAATGAACACAAACACCCCAAAATCTGGAGTGGCCCATTTGTTTGTTTCATTTGTATACCACTGAGGCTGCCTGGGCAGTTAGCAGAAGTTAAGATTAAACAAAAGTTAAAAACATGCACGCACACACCAGTTCAATTAAAAGAACAAAAGCATAATTGCAACTGCTATTATTCAGCACAGAAGTACAGGAACAGTACAGAAATAAAATGGGATATATCAAAACAAAAAGTTAGTTGGTTAAAATGCTGGGAAGTAAAAAAAGTCTTCACCTGGTGCTGAAAAAAATACAAAGTGGGCACCAGACACACCTCTTTGAGACCATATGCCAAAACTGGGGTGCTCCAACCAAGAAAGGCCCTCCTCCTGGTATCTACCCACCTCACTACCCTTGGAAGGTCTCCTGGAGAAAGACGCGGCAGATGATCTCAGGTTCCAGGTAGGCATATATGGGAGGAGGTGATCCTGCAGATCTCCTTCAGATAGCATTTCTTATCATTAGTGTAGTACAGATATCATTGCTTTCAATAAAATGAAAAAGATGTTCACATGTGGAGAGCCTCTTTGGGTCTTTCTTCATCCCTGGAAAGCCATTCTGTGATGGCTGTTTTGATGGAATGCCCTTCAGTACTGCTTAGACCTACATGTGGCTCCAGTGGTGTGGCTGTGTGTTTGCCTGCCTGCTCCAAGAGTTCCAGTTGTGACAGCGCCCCAAGGCAGGCACTGATAGCTCTGCTCCATCTTTATTTCAGTGCCTGATCATTGGGGCAGGCCCCTGTGGACTCCGCACAGCCATTGAGCTGGCCTTCCTCGGAGCCCACGTGGTGGTGGTGGAGAAGAGAGACGTCTTTTCCCGAAACAATGTGCTGCACCTTTGGCCTTTCACTATCCAGGACCTGCGGGCACTGGGAGCCAAGAAATTTTATGGCCACTTTTGCACAGGCTCCTTGGATCACATCAGTAAGTATGAGCTTGATGAGGGTGGAGATGGTACCGGCATTATTGTGGGTATTATTGGCAGCGCAAGAGAGTTGGTGGTGGTGGTGTCGGCGAGGATACGTTTCGAGGTATAGAAAATCTTCATCTGGGGAACATTTGCCACAACACGTTACATGACTGCTCTCCAGAAGGGAGTTCGTGAGTCGATGCCATGTTGCGCAAGGAGGGATGGGCAGCATGAGAGGCGCCACACGGGTGCCAAAACCACAGGGAAACTGCCCATGATAGTGGGCATCAGTTCAGGAAGAATGGCACCTGGTGAATGTCACAAGAGAATAATTTTTAGAAGTACATCAACAGCATAACCAGCATACTGAGATAATGGGCCCAGAGGAATTACTTATCGCCGACTATTGTTCCAAACTTCCACTGCTGAGTGTGGCTTTGCTCTGACTTGAACCCTATTGGTTCAGCTGGGAGTAAGTCTGTTGTTAGTTGTAGTAGTCCTGTGCTTTCTTGCCAGACTATGCTCCATGATGTGGCATTCAGTGGCTTTTTGGGGCTCAGTATCTGCCTTGCTAAAGTGAAGGAAATCCATCAGTTTCCATCAACATGACTGTTACGAGGAGATCAAGAAACAGGCTTCCTGGCATAGGAAAGGAGGTGTGGCTGGAGTTCCATTTAAATGCAGATATTGCCTAAGAGAAGGTCCGAATGTGCACAGAAAGGTGTGTGTGTGTGTTTTAATGGACTGGCTTTGGTTCTCCCCTCTCTCCCTCTCTGCAGGTATTCGTCAGCTGCAGCTGATCCTGCTGAAAGTTGCCTTGCTCCTGGGTGTTCAGATTCATATCAATGTGCAGTTCAAGGGACTTGTTCCACCGGCAGCAAATTCCAAAGGAAAGGGTGAGAATGTCAAGAAACCAGCCCCTTGAGTTTCTAATGCTTCCTATCCAGGACCCTCACTCAACACCTGTATGTGCAGCAGCGAGATGTTGATGGGGCTTCCTTTAAAAGTATGTGGGGGGAACTCCTTGATGACTAGGGCATTGGAATTCCTGTTACTTGTGCTGAGAACTGGCTTTACTCCATTAATAACAGGGCTCCCTGCTAACTCGTTGGGAAGCGGTTTATTTGATTGCAGCTTGAATCTAAAATGTAGAACATTAACAGCCGAAATGCTTAGAGTGGAACAGGTGGTATTGCTTGAGCACCAAGGCAATCCACTTAAGGCAAAATATTTCAGATTTACAAATGTATGCTTGGAAAAAGTCTTCCAGACATCATGACGAGAAGAGCTTTCATGAAAAAATGGTTGCTCTTGCCTGTACTCCAGATGCTCAGTATTTTCCTGACAACATCATAGAAACTGAATGAGAGACCCGATCCCATCTCTTTTCCCCCTTCAAGTTCCTTGTCTCTCTTATGACTCACAAGCCATGGCTCTGAAGTGTGTGAGTGTGTCAGACCATTATGTTTCTGAGTCTCCTGCCTTGAGTAGTGGCATTGGGTCTCCCTGCAGGCAAAATCCCATCTCCAAAGTCCTTTAGGCAAGTGGAGACATTCTTCTCCTGGAACCCCAACCTTTGTCTTTAGCAGGTGCCAAGACAGGGTTGGGGTGCTACTTACCTTCCAGCCAATGAGCCACAACCGCCAAAAGAGTTCCCTGCTTTTTTTCACAAACATGCACACCAGACCGAGATGGGTACATTTAGCTCTCCTCACAGCAAGCATTCGGAGTCCTTCCTTTTATTACAGGTGGTGGCTGGAGAGCTGTGCTGCAACCCAGCTCCTCACCCTTGAGCCAATATCAGTTTGACATCCTCATCTCTGCAGGTGGTGGCAGGTTTGTGCCAGAAGGTAAGTAATCACTTAAAGTCTGCATTAAATTCCCCCTCCTTCTAAGATGCCTGAGGATCATGAGAGGCGGTTCTTAGCAGGAAGGTGCAGCAAGGTTTGCCTTCTCATTTCTTCTTTTTTGTTTTTTAAAACAATACAGTATAAGATAGTTCTAGGCTTCTTCTCAACAGCTTTGTAAGGCCATGATAACTTCTCTCTTCAATGCTGGCATTGGAGAAGCAAGTGCTGCAGCTGAAAGACAGAACCTGCATCTCTGGCTTGCAATGAACGAGTGTCCCCTCTTTCCTGTGCTTTGCTCTTTCAAAAACCAGAGGGTGGATCTACTCATGTACCAGGATTAGACATGACTACTCAGTGTAGATGCAGCCTGGTTTATGGTTTTTGGATTCCCCTTTCAAAGACTTGTTCACAAAGAGAAAATAGATTAGCAGTGTCACAGATTCTTGTGTCTGCAGACATCTCCTTCAAAAGCTGCTTTCTGCTGTTTCTGGTTTTGAGAAATATGCATTACTATTTACATTGAATTCTAAAAGCTGAATATGTGGGGAGAATTGGTTTAAATTGCCTCTGTGTCTAAATACTGGCTTTTTAAAAAATGTCAATGGCTTGCAGTGTTGCAGACCAAAAAGCAACTAAAAATGTAATGAATCATCACCACCACCCCTTTGGGAAGAAGGGCTAATTTTGACAGAGAAGATTTTCAGGTTGGCTTTTCAGTGTGTTTGCTGTGCTTCTCTTAATAATTCCCAATATCAAATTAAGGAGGCTGCATTAATTCTTAGAGGGCTCGAGGCATGCTGGCAAGAGCGCTTTGCCACACCCTTTTGCTTTAGAGCCAACTGCAGCAATGCCAGCCCTTGATCTCCATAGCCTGGGTCATAAAAAGCAAAACAGAACTGAAGGCATAGTGCCTTGGGGCAGGAGAGGCACCGAAAAGCAAGTGGGACAAGACAATTGCACCTGCAAAGCTGACTCTGCATCATTTACTGGTGTTTATCTGGGCCTTTTTCAGAACAGGTTAGTGACTGCAGCAGTCCTCTCTCTTCCCCTTTCGTTTCCCACATCGTGATGGGATTGTTGTAGTATTTTTCCCCAGGTCTTCCTTACCGTTCCTCAAATAGGGGGGCATTTTTGTGAAGCACAGAGCACCATTTTGTAAATGACAAACCATAAGGAGTAAGGTTAATTGCTTTCCTACCACTGTACCAAGCTTTCTCCCAAAGGTCCATCATAAGTAAAGAATTCTCCACACAGTGTCCTGCTAATAACTGCTAACTGCATCTTTTAAAAACAGATGTACCCTATATTTCAGGGCTTACATCCCTGCAAGACAGTATTAGCATTTTTTTAAAAGCAGCAGATACATACTTGCTAAAGCAGCTCCATCAGACTGGAATAAGCATACATTTAAGGATCTTTTAAGAATCAACTCAGCAAGGTAGGGGGATATTTCTCTCCCTAGGGGGGGTATTCCAGAGGTGCAGGGCCACTATAGAAAAAGTCCTTTTTGAGGAACATGGAAATGTGGAAGAGCTGCGGACTGAGGCTTGAGGTTGGTTCCTGCGCTGCTGAAGTTATATTGATACTTTTGGGATTAATTATATCGAAGATGATAGAACTTTTTTCCACATGGTACAAATTCTTCTCCTATCGTCACCCTGGCAGCCCTCCATTTTCTAGCAGAGCTATTGAGAATCATTCTTGTTTGTTTATCTCTAGGTTTTAAGAGGAAGGAGACCCGTGGAAAACTGGCCATTGGCATCACCACCAACTTTATAAATAACCACAGCAAAGCTGAGGTGGAGGTAGCTGAGATCAGTGGAGTGGCTCGCATCTACAACCAGAAATTCTTCCAAAACCTCTATAACAAAACAGGTCTGAGCTGCATACTTCCCTGCTACCATAATTCCGTGGTCTGAATGAAAGAGCGCAGGGAATGACAGTCAATAGAAAATAAATAAATCCACTGAAATAAATTTTGGGGTTTCTCCATATTATCTTGGATCCTTTTCATTTTTACTTCTTTATAGAAGCAGAATAAATTATGCAATTGTGCTTGCTTGGGGTATTTTAAACAAAGGTTTTCTGGACACTGAATTTGGATTGTTCAGTCAGATACATAAAGCCAATTGTATCAAAACTGGTAGGGGCCTATGTGGAGCCCTCCTGGATCAGACCAAATTCTATCTAATGGAACATCCTGTTTCCCATGGCGACCAACAAGGTGTCTCTGAGATGCCCACAATCAGGCACCTAGGCAATGACCCTTTCCTGCCTTTGTTTCCCAGGAACTGGTATTCAGAGGCATGCTGTCTCCAATTCAGGAAGCAGCATTCACCGATTGTGGCTTGTGGCCATTGCTATCCTAATCCTCCATGAATGTGTCTTGTTGTTGTTAGTCGCGAAGTCGTGTCCGACCCATTGCGACCCCATGGACAACATTCCTCCAGGCCTTCCTGTCCTCCACCATCCCCCAGAGTCCACTTAAGCTCACACCAACTGCTTCAGTGACTCCATCTAGCCACCTCATCCTCTGCCGTCCCCTTCTTCTTTTGCCATCTACTGTTCCCAGCATTAGGCTCTTCTCCAGGAAGTCCTGCCTTCTCATTAGGTGGCCAAAGTATTTGAGTTTCATCTTCAGTATCTGCCCTTCTAAAGAGCAGTCAGGGTTGATCTCCTCTAGGACTGACCGGTTTGATCGCCTTGTGGTCCAAGGGACTCGCAGGAGTCTCCTCCAGCACCACAATTCAAAGGCCTCAATCCTTTTGCGCTCAGCCTTCCTTATGGTCCAGCTTTCACAGCCATACATTGCAACTGGGAAAACCATAGCCTTGACTATACGTTCTTTTGTTGGCAGGGTGATGTCTCTGCTTTTTAGTATGCTGTCTAGATTTGCCATAGCTTTCCTCCCCAGGAGCAAGCGTCTTTTAATTTCTTGGCTGCAGTCCCCATCTGCGGTGATCTTGGAGCCCAGGAAAATAAAATCTGTCACTACCTCCATTTCTTCCCCATCTATTTGCCAGGAAGTGAGAGGACCAAATGCCATGATCTTAGTTTTCTTAATGTTGAGTTCAAGCCAACTTTTGCACTCTCCTCCTTTACCCACATCAAGAGGATCTTTAGTTCCTCTTCACTTTCTGCCATTAGGGTGGTATCATCTGCATATCTGAGATTGTTGATATTTCTCCCAGCAATCTTAATTCCAACTGGTGATTCATCTAGCCCCACCTTTCTCATGATGTGCTCTGCATATAAGTTAAATAGGCAGGGCGACAGTATACAGCCTTGCTGAACTCCTTTCTCAATTTTGAACCAATTGGTGGTTCCGTGTCCAGTTCTCACTGTTGCTTCTTGACCCACATATAGGTTTCTCAAGAGACAAATAAGATGGTCTGGTACTCCCATCTCATTAAGAACTTGCCACAATTTGTTGTGATCCGTGCAATCAAAGGCTTTAGCATAGTCAATGAAGCAGAAGTAGATGTTTTTCTGGAACTCCCTAGCTTTCTCCATGAATGAATGTGTCTAATCCCCTTTAAAGCCATCCTTGTTTTAACATTCTACTTCTGCTTCAACATGTTTCAACAATATTAGGTATCGACTTGGAAAACATTGTCTACTATAAAGATGACACTCACTACTTCGTCATGACAGCCAAGAAGCAGAGCCTGCTAAAGAAGGGAGTCATCTTAAATGTATGTAGCAAATATCACACAAAAGGGACTGAAACCCCAAACCATCTTTTGAATTCATGTGCCCGTGAGGTGAAAGGAATCCCACAATGCTTTGAGCTGGTTTATGCAAGTTCATTGGAAGTCAGATTTGTTTATTGCAATTTTCTGAGAACAGGCTGGTCATTAATATGTCCTTGAGCCCAACTGCTTGCCCTGCAACATGCATTTCATTTAATGCAGAAAATGTCTTAATGAGTTTTAAAGCAAAACGCACACACAGAATTGTGCAACTACTACTATTGTGCTTTAGCAAGGACACAGAATATCCCTTCCAACTGGAGGTGCTGTATATTGAATGTTCTTCTATGGAGGAGCAAGCCCTCTGGACTGAATAGTTTTCTCCACCCTTCCAGCTCATGATGTTCAGAAAATATTTAAACACGCACACTCCAGCTACAGTCCACAAGATATTATCACTTGATCCTTGGTTGTATAACTTGTCCCTAACAAATCCCTTCAGGTGGTCAATTGATACAGGAGCTAAAATTCCCCAAAGACCTAGCTTGGTCACTGGTGTGCAGTGTACTCCTGTGCTGTCTTCCTGCTGAAGTCTGGCTGCTAAATAGAATCAGACTGTGGACAATGCTGGGAATTAAAAACTGTTTGGAGAAAGCTTGGATTGACGGTGCAGCAGATCAGTACTCTATAAAGGCTTTGAAAGGGGGTCAGTATGCTTTACTGTGGCTGTCTGGGTAGTTGCAAACAAGAATTCTTCCTCTGACAAGGTTTCGGTGTCCTTTCAATAGCAAACATTTTTATGTCCTTTTTGTTATGACTTGGAGTTATCCACATCCCGAAAGACCCTAAGAAAGTTACAGTATCTGCTTTACTCATCTAATCCATGCCCTTGTAACATCCCAGCAAGATTAAAATATTGTATTAGGGAAGATATCTTGGTATCTGTTCATCTCTAGGACAAACCAGATATAGAAAGTCTTCTGTCTCCAGAGAATGTGAACCAGGAAGCTCTTCTTGCATATGCCAAGGAAGCTGCCAACTTCTCCACCAACTACCAGCTGCCCGAACTGGAGTTTGCATTGAACCACCGCAGCCTTCCCGACGTCGACATGTTTGACTTCACCTGCATGAACCGCTCAGACAATGCGGCTCTAGTGCGTGACTGCAGTGGCGCAAAGCTGCTCATCGGGTTGGTGGGTGACTGCCTGGTGGAGGTAAGTTCTTCCTTACTGGGACCGGAACCAGCCTAAAAGCAGAGACCTCTCACTGTGGAAGAGAAGTGCATCTCCAGCAACCTTTACTGAAAATTCTTACTAAGTTATTCCAGTAGAGCTGACTTGCATGTTCTTCTCAGTGTCATATGGTACACCGTCCTGAGACTGTACCACTTCAGCATACAGATGGGGAAAGGTTGCATTACTGAGCCCTCACCCATTAAAATTCCCTGCCAGCAATGTTTTGGCTAAAGCAGCTTTCCCTGTGTGAGGCTTGCTGTTATGGTGTGGTGTTTAAATAGAAGAACATTCAGATGTGTGATTTTTCTTTGCAGTGATACAGTCCTAGAAAAGTAGCACATAGGGGTTTTCTGAGTCTATGGCCCTGCTGTTAATCCCATTTATTTTGATGAGAATTACAAACAGGTAATTGCATGAAAACTTGCATCTCCTTAAATAAGGCTTTGTTGATGCAAAATGTCCCTTCCATGGGGTATCAATTATGTTGACTGGAAATTATGAAAGTCGCAATCTAACACATTTGAAGGGCCCCAAGTTGGGGAAGCAAACCTTTTGTTTGGAGATTGTGCACACAGTTTTTAAAAAATTGCACGCTTTTATTTGATTAGCCTGCAAGCTCATCTGGCAGCTGGAAATGACTAATTTTTCACTTGCACACTTGGCTATGTTGTCTTTTTATTTGGCAAAACTCAGTCTGCTGACAGCTGAAATGAGGTGGGGACCTGGGAGCACTTAAGGTGGGCATCAGTTTGAACAAGCACTTCCCCAAAACATGACAAGCACAGTGGGACTGCTGTGAAATAACCGCGACTGTCTGGTGCACTCCAGAATTGCAGTTTCTGCAACATTTATCCAGTAAAATGTCCACCAAGCTGCAGGCCAGTGTCTGTTCTATATCTTGCTCACCAGCTACAAAGCTTCACTCGTTCTTCCTCTCCTTTGTTCTCCAGCCATTCTGGCCTTTAGGCACCGGTGTGGGCAGAGGGTTCCTAGCAGCTTTTGATGCTGCCTGGATGGTGAAAAGGTGGGCTTCAGGGACACCCCCGCTGGATGTGCTGGCTGAAAGGTGAGAATTCTGAAAAGAGGTATTCTCTGTCTACACCGATGATGGGGTGGCTGGGGATACTTTTCTGTAGATGTTTTGTGTAATTTGTTCTGTACAGGGGTATAGATCTATGGAACATATACTGCCATCTCTGATAGTTTTTTTCTAAGTAGGAGTTATCACAGTGCTCTATGAGTAGACAGTGCAGGTTGAATGGTTCTGTTTCAAGCTCGTCTGTAGTTGGCTGCTAGAGATAATCTAGATAAACAATGGAGGGCCTGTAGCACTCTGGATGTTGTTGTGTTCCAACTCCCATCAGCACCAACCAGCATGGCTAATTATCCGGGTTGATGGGTGTTGTAATCTGGCAACATCTGGAGGAACATAGATCCTGCCCTTAACGCAGAGTTTCTCAGCTTTTGCTGCTGGTGGTGGTGATGGGGGTAGTAGCAATTTTTTAAAATCCTCTCAAAGCATCTGCAGCAGCTACAGAGCGTTGCAGTCACTGGAGAGCAACAAAGGGTCCAAATGCCCTTGCAAATGGGCTAATGATCATCCTTGCCCATTTGCAAGTGAACCAAGGGTGGTGTACATTTTCTCCTGGCCATCGCCCTGTGAAGTAGCTTATGCCTAGAGGCAGTGGTTTATTCAGGACTACAAAGTGAATTTGATAGCTGGCTGGAAAGCAGAATCCAGGTTTCCCTCACCTGCGTCCAGCACGCCACCCATGGTGCTACACCGCTTTTCAGAGGAAGCCAAAAGCTCGTAGGCGCTGGCTGGCCTGGTGCGACAGAGCAGCACATTTCTCCTCTGAGGCTCTGGGCGCTTCCAGGCTGATGGCTGTTAGCAGCACTGCTGGTCGCGAGACACTGTGCAGTCCATCCATCCTTCTCTCCATACTAGATTTTCTCTGGTAAGGGGGAAAATGGAATAACACTGGAAAACACGGTGGGGGTGGTTTGCAAGGGGAAGATGATGATGTCTGAGCTTATGAATGAGGCAGGGCGATTACATAATCAAAGCCTTATCTGAAAGTGCCCTTTGGCATTTAAATGCTCCACCAGGCTTATTGCTGTGTGAGGGACTGGAATGAATACATGATGAGGTTTTAACTAAACTAAAGAAGTCCCATAATTACAACTGTTGCGTGGCCCCAGACATACTGCAATTGAGCCTCAGGTCGTTTCTCATTGCTCGGTGTCTGAACCGTGGGCATTAACTGGTATTTTGAGAGGCAAAGTACATGTTACAGACACACATAAGTATCTTTTCTCTGGTGTGTTTTTTTAGCAGCTTCAGGAGGTTGTGGGTTTCAGCAGAGGGAAAGATGGGGCAAGGGAAAGGGGCTTCTTAATCCTTTCCAGCCATTTAAGTACTCCAAATTATCTCCCTGCTGGCTGCTTTTTCTTCTGGTTTGGTGGAAAGTCTCCTTCCTTGCACCCACCCAAAGTGAAATTGCTGCTGAGGGTGGATGGTTCTGAGTGAAGGAAATGGTTAAACAGCCCTGTTCCTGTACCTTTATCAAAGCTGACAGTTTCAAGGGAGTTCCCAGTACTCTCCAGGAGATCTCACAGGGCTGTTTGTGTACCGGTAGACCAGAAAGCTGGAGTACAAAATGGAGGATAAGCAGAATTGCCCAGTGAAGCTTTGGGAATTGTGGAGGAAACGTCTTGATGCTGCTCACACCACAGAGCCAGAAGAGGTGGGAGAGGGGGAAGTTTTGTGCAGGGAAGAAGGAAGAGGCAATGGTGATCTTACTGTTTTGCCTGGAGGCACTTAAATGCTGAAGGCCGACTGTGATTCTCATGCTGAGGGACTAAGAGAAGGAACATTCCTGCTTAATCTCCACTCAGAGAGAGCATATATCAGTGGCTGTCACAGACTTCGCCTGACAACACCAGCAAGAACATCAATCAGTACAGCATTGACCCCACCACACGATACTCAAACATCAACCTCCGAGCCATCAAACCCTCACAGGTACCTGGCCTGCTACTGGTGGGAGCTTGAGCATGGCAGGAGGATACTCAGCCTCCTGTCCCTTTTCTTCTCTTTGATGGTTTGCCTCCTTCTGATTTGCAAAGTCTAAAGTGGGCCCCATGCTGCTGCGACACCTCCCTGGACCGTGTTGCAACAGGCATGAGGATGCTGTGAGAGGGACTGTAGAGCAGCGAGATGCCCCTGTGTGCCATGTTGGCACTGATGTTGTTCTCAGCAGAGGAACAGGCTGTGGGGCATTGTCCAAGCTGAGAAGGTGGCAGCCACATAAATGGACCAGGGTGGCATTGTGGGTTGGGAGATCACCTGGTTTCTGCTCTGGATCCAAGCCCTGCTCGGTGATAACAGGTAACGTCTGTTTTCAGGTTCGCAACCTGTACGTAACGGGAGAAGTTGAAATGGACCAGAAGAACAGGAGAAGTGGCAGCCCAGAGATCATCTCTAAAGGCAAGTCTGGCTGGTTTCTTCCCTGGCTACTGACTACATGGACCCACTTGAGAACAAGCCTCCCCCTCGCTTGCATGGGCTGTTCTCTCCTTTAGCTGCAGTGGCTTCTTGGGGTGTGGCCCACACAGTCACTTTCAAGCATGCAGGTCATGGAATCATAGAGTTGGAAAGGACCTTGGAGGTCATCTAGCCCAGTTCCCCTCTGAATGGAAGATCCGCTGGGCGAGATACGACTATAACTTGTCTGATAGTTATCTGTTCAGCCTTTCCTTAAAAAGCTCTAGTGAAGCAGAGCCCACCACTTCCTGGGGCAGTCTGTTCCATGGTCAAACAACTGTTATTATTAAAATGCTTTTAATGAAACCTTTTACTGAAATCTTCTGCCCTGGTATTTCCACCCCCTGCTGCAATGATAGCTGTTGCCATTTCCCATGTATTCTTTCACTGGAGCCCTGCTTTATACCTGAACAGCACATATAGCCGCCCCGAGGCTTTGGCGAATGGGGTGGCATAGAAGCTTCCTAAATAAAATAAATAAATAAATAGGTAGATCTGGCTTCTCAGATTTGATCGTGGGAAACCACCCCAAGGAGTCACTCTTATGTACTAAGCCTGCTTCTCTATTTATGAATTTGTATTCTGTGCTGAGAAGAAAAGGGGAATTCTTTCAGGGGAGCCAATTCTGTGATCTCTTTCCTTTAAGAAAATGAAGCCCTTGGTGTTCATTTAGCCAATTTTACTTTTGCTAGAATAATGAGCAAGGACAAGGGGCACCTTGCTGGGTTTGGACATTTTTCCAGACACTGCTGACATGCTTTTCAAGCCTTTCTTTGCCTTTATAAAGACTAGAAGCACTTTTTTAAATGGTGAAGTTTGGGGTTCTTAAATGCTGAATTCTGCAAGTGCAGAATACACAGCTCTGCACAGACAAAGTGTAAAGTCAAAAGGGATTCAGTGGGTCTTCAGCAGAACAACTGTGGCCTGCAGCATTTTGGACAGATGGTTGTCCAGACTTGCTCTTGCTCAGGCAGCCAGTTATTCTTTAAAAAGGTAAAAAAGGGGGAAGGGAAGGAGAAAAGAATCGGTGTTAACATTAGCTACTCTTAACTTCTTTGAATTACTGCTGAGAGGGTGAGCATACCTAGCAATTTAAGCAGATTGTAATTTTTATGCAAGAGACTTTTTTCTATAATTCTAGTACAAAACTGGATTTTAAATAGTCAAGCTTACAGTGGAGAAATATATTGGCCTCCTAAACAGGTAGTCCTTTTCCATCCCCCAAGAAATAAACACACATGTCACAGTATTTTGCCTCCAAATTATCACCTCTGTGGAAAGGCTATGTGGCACATCTATCAATTCCATGCATCCATCCACTGTGACAGTGACATTTTGCATCACTTCTTTTGTTATCCCACATGCTACAGAAGAACCCCCAATGCTACCATGCTTGCTGTATTTTAAGTGTTTTTCTGCTTTCTGTATCTGAGTGTCTGTGCATGTATGTTTTTGTCCCTTTAGTTCTTCCCTGCCTCTTTAAATTGCAGCTCTTTCTTCTCTGTGTCGTCTCAAATTTTCTCCGATGCTGTTACTGTTCTCTGCTTCTCAGTAGCTGTCTCCAGACAGGCCCTGTCTTGCTGATGAAACAGTTTTTGGGTTTATTGTGGTTGGGAAAGAAGCATGTTTAACACATGAGAGAGAGAAAGAGATAGTATGGTTCCTCTTTGCTGTAGTCCTACTTAGAATCTAAATCTTTGGATCTTTCCCCCTTGTGAAGCACAGCTAGCTGAATTCTCTAAGCTTTTAGGATGCACAGTTGTGGGTGCAGATCTGAGGATCAGTTCTAAGTGTATTGTATGCTGATACACAACTAAGCCATGGGATTTACACTGCAGTTTCCTGTGTTAGTTTGTTATGCTGGCTCCTGTGTGGCCCTGGGTTGGGCGAGTGATGCCGAAGTAGTCTTTAATTTCACAATTCCTGATTTAAGTATCACAAGGTATATCTCAGTTCCTCCCACTGTATCACAGCAATGGGTCTTGGCAATGGGGTCCTGAAAGGTTGCTCCAGCCAAGCAAGCCAGCTGAAATTCCTAACTTAGTTGACTTGCAGGGCCCAAAGGTTATTAGTAAAGTGGTGCTGATGCTGTTTGGACACCTGGTAGCTGTTTGATTTTTGTTCCTGCTTCCTGAGATCCACTGGATGAAAACCAAAGCAGCCCATAGGACAAGAGCCTGGTATGCTAAGAATCTGCCTGCTCTGGAATGTAGACGTCCTGTAACTGGAGGCAACTTGGGAAGTGGCTGCCTTGCACAGCTCTGCTTCCCACCCTGCTCTTAGCTCTTTGTGTGTTTCCTTCTCCTCCTTGTCCCTTCACCCACCTCCAGATGCCAGCCGAGCCTATGAGGAGCTCCTTAGCTGGTGTCAAGCCAACACAGCAAACTATGACGGCATTAAGGTGGAAGACTTCACATACTCCTGGAAAAGCGGCCTGGCCCTGTGTGCCCTAATACATCACTTCCGACCAGAACTGCTGTGAGTGTCCCCTGGGGGAAGCCGCAGAGGGGGAAGACAACTGAAAATCGAGTCAGGGTGTTATGCTTAGATCACCATAGCTAATAGCTGCCTCCCTCGTTCTGCATGTAGTGGTCCAGTCTTTTATAACTGCTGGCCATGACTGCACTTCATGTCAGGCTTCTTCACAGTTAAAATTACACTGTGCATTTGTAGAGAATCTGTTTTAAATTTGTTGAGCAGATTTCCTGTTTTCCTCTTAAGTGGCTTTATAAATGGCGACTAGTTTATAGGAATCTGTCTTGGCTAACGTGTAAGACTGATTTTTCTCCCAGCCAATTGTGTACATTCCAAGGGCTAAAATAAGAATTTGCTTGTCCATGTCTTTATATTACTTGATTTCCCAGCACTTGATAACTCACAGCTAAAGACGTGAATGGATTTCACTGAACAACAGTTATGTTTGAGGTGATGTGCAGTGATCAGTGGAATTCGGTCTGTGGCTGCCCATTCACAAATGCAAAGCGCCATTTGATGCTCTAGTCACCAAGTGATGAACATGTGTGATGAATCAGTCCTAAGCAGCTCTGTGCACGTGCCACAAGCCTAGTGGGCAGAGATCTTTGGGAATGACTTGTTGGTTTGTTCCAGCTCTAAGAAGCTTAGTAGTTGGGAGCATCTGTTATTTTTAGGAAAGGAATCACAACATGCAGTCAAGAGGGAACATTTTTCATTGCATTTCATTCCATTTTGGAAAAGCTCCTGTGAGGCTGAATGCCTACCCAGGTCTTTCTCGCTTTGGGTGGAGAGTCAGCACCCAGGAGAGATGTTGGCTTGTTGTTAGCCTCTGCCCTGTTAATATGGGGGTGCATTAAGTTACCCCATCTCAAGCCTCTGCTCCAGGGTGTGTGGCATATAATTCTTGCCCTGTCCCTCCATATCAGAGAATGAGAAGCTGGTCTTAAAAGCAGAGTATGGTGCAAGCTTTGAAACACAAAACCACTTGTGTTGGTGTTGTCTCTGTGCTGCCTTCCCTGAATGTGTCTGAGTTTCCGAGCGGGGCTTAGGTATGTAGGGGTGAATGACCCCATAGACAGAAACTTGCTAAATGTGAGAGTTCCTTCACAGTCTTGTCTGCTAGATCTTGATAGAACTGCTGCAGCACTTCATTTGCCCATATTTGGTGACCAAAGGAGGCAGTGCAAATAAACCCCCTTTCCTTCTCTAGTAAAATGGAACAGGAGCCTGGTTTTATTAGGGGAAGGAGGACTGTCTGGTGCCCTGTTATGGGAAGCAAAGCTGTTCTCCCTAACCTGCTGGTGCCTGAATGCAATTAGCAGTCAGTTCACACAAACATGAGCCGAGAACTGCTGTACAATAATTTTCAAAGCTCCCCATCTTTTGTTTCAGTACCCTGGACAAATTATTCCTTTATTTAAAGCATTTTTATCCTATGACCACCTCCATAATGGCTTATAGATTAGTTAAAATAACAACAATACAGGCCTTATCTGCAGCCTTAAATATAAAAGTCATAACACAAGAGGAAAGGGATTGCTTGGGGACGACAAGGAAATCCAAGCACCCGTCCTTAATGTTGCAGAGTTCTTAGCATGGAGTAGGGAAGAATATGAGCAGCAGAGCCAAAAGTTGCAGTTTCCCTCAGCAAAGCTGGTGTGGGCCCTGCCTCCTTCTCTTCCCCTCTCACTGCATCCTGGTGACATGGCTGCTGTCAGGTGACAATTGACAGGGAGGAACCTGATGTTTTTTACAGGTTTCTTTATGCTTGAGATAAATCCTGTCTGTCACTTCTGGTAACTTTCCCCTCCAGAGACTTTAATTCATTGGACCAAAATGACCCTGTTGGGAACAACCAGCTGGCCTTGGATTTGGCTGAGCAGGAACTAGGGATCCCTCCCATCCTCTCCAGCACAGAAATAGCATCTGTGTCTGAGCTTGAACAGCTTGGCTTGATCACCTACTTGAGCCAGTTTTATGATGCCTTCAAGACCTCTCCAGGTAGGTAAAGACTCCCAAGATACCCAGTTCTGAAAGCAGCCAGTTCACTCCTAAATTCTGGACACAGGTGACAGCCCCCTGCTGCCCAGAGGGCTCACTGTGCACCCACAGTGGGGTGGGGAACTTGATCTGGCCAAAAGGCTGCACTAGGGGACTGCATTGCAGCGGGTGGACCAAGGGAAAGGCAAACAGGGTATGGCAAAAATACAAACCTATTTTTTAGATTAACCTCTTGCAGCTGAGAACTAAGCCATGCTGGAGGTAGCATGCAGTCATCAGGATTAGTAGCCATTGACGGCTGTATCTTCATACATCTGTCAATTTGCAAAGCTTTTCAAGTTGATGACCAACTTTCATAGAGGTCAGCTTGGGACAAGGGAGAAGTGGAGTTCCCAGGAAAAAGTAGCTTGTCCCCTGAATCTTCCCTTCTTTCAGTTATTGCCCTGTTACAGCCACTGCAGTAGAAATGGAGAGATTACTATTAAGAGCTGCCATAGCCCATTTCTGCACCCAGGGCAGTGATGCAGAGTGTCTGGTACAAGGGCAGGGAGCTTGCTGCCTGCAGACACCAGTATGCCCCCAGTCAACTTTCTTGGTGCCAGCAAGTGTCCTACTCCTCCGCCATTTTAAAGATTAATGCATTTTCTTGTTGGCAGCTCATATTTCTGTGAAAAGGGTTTTTGTTGGGGCTGAAAACTCGGAGCCGAAAGGAGTTGTTCAGTGTGAAGGGGCTCAGGCCCCACTTCTGCCTTGAATTCAGAGCTTTGGGCAGATTACTTGTCCTTGGTCAGTCATTTTCACGGTGGCCACCATTTCCAGATGTGTCCATGGCCCCAACAGTTAGCCTTCCTCTGGCCTATTATATCGCTCAGGCTAGGTTCAGACCCAGGAATGCTGTATTCTCTCTTTCAGAAGCAGAGGAGAAAGAATTAAAATCTCTGACACCACGTGGCACGAAAGGAGCAATCCTCTTCCTCAGCAAGCTTCAGAAAACTCTCTCTCTCACACGTAAACGGAACCTGGTGAGTTCATCTGCCCAGCAGCTACTGCTCGTCCATGACCAAGCATGCCTTCCTTTCTATCTTATATATGAGCTGTTTGTCCTTTGCCCCTTGGGTCTGTTCCTTCCCAGATTATTCCAGCAATTTCCCCCCACTAGACATCCCCAGGGAGGTTGAGTTTATTCTGGGAACTAAGGGCTCTTGGCCTTCTGTGGTTACTGCTGTTTCAAATGAATACTATTTGACTATAGGAGAGCTCCACTGCGGATGCAGAAGCCAAGAAGATGAAGCAAGAGGCTGGGGTAAGTTTGCCAGTCATCTTGCATCAGACACATTTTGAACAGGCTTGGTTCTCTCTTTCTGCTGGGCATTGAGCTTCTACAGCAGGACTGGGCAACCTGTGGTCCCACAGGTGGTGCTGCACTCTACCACCCTTCACTCCTGCCCATTGGCCTTGCTAGTTAGGCGAGGTGGGCGCTGGAGTGCAGCACCATCTGGAGAACCACTGGTTCACCACCCTGTTGTAGGCTGACTCAGCATCCCCTTTTATCTGACTTAAGGCTGCTTCATATGTGGTGATTCCCATAGGAAAGGCACTGCCTTGCAGAAATTAACATGAAGCCTACATAAAGATTATGGCATAGTAAGCACCTACACGCAGTTTCTCACTGCCCACTGGGACACAGTGGCCAACTGCATTTTCCCAGTGTATATATGCAACAGTGTGTCCCATCACCATCAACAGTGACCCAGCTTTCACAATATGGCTGGCTTAATCTGAGTTAAGCAATCCTTGCTTAACCCATAATTTGCAGTAGCATGTAAGCATGGATTGCTTAACCCTCAATCCATGACGACCAAGTTTAGACAATACAGTGCGCTTGAGGATTGTGCAGTCAACATGGCAGCCAATCACATGGGCTACAGTTCATCACTGGTTACATAACTCGTGATGAACTGGCTGTGTTAGGCAAACCACCCTTATGATTAAATGTGAGTTTCCTGTCAGTTCTGGCATGGAAATATGTTTGAACTAGCAATCTTGTTTATGTATGGTGGCCCTTAGACTAAACAAACTGGGAATGGCTCTTTATGACTATTAAAATCAGAAATCACTAAAAGTGAAATCTGCCATTTGTGACTTGGTACTAGAACAAATATTTCTAGCAGTTACATTTATGGGAAATTCATTATTTGAGACATCACTGATAACTGTCAGGCATTCTGATCCTTTAATGCAAGACCAGAAAAACACTGTGCACAGTTTTTTGCGGCTACCATATGACTAATAACTTTACTCTTGCAGTTCTAATACTAATCCTGAGGGTCAAATCCCAACTGTGATTGGAATTAAAATTTATTTGGGAAATCTCCTGTCCTCCTGCCCACTCAGTTCCAAGCCAAACTTTTCCTGGGCTGATAAGAAGCTTGATCTCAAGTACTCAAATCAACAGAGATTGACTTTCGCTTTGCAAAGCTGCTGTACCAGAGTTCTGGATGCAGGGAAACACTGGTGGCTGAAACAGGCGGATGTGCAGATGTACAGCACATGTACAGCTAGTAAATGTTTGGGTGCTGCTAATGAAATCTGACCACTTGCACATTCTTAGGCTGATTGCTCAAGATCCGAGGTTGCTAGTTCTCTTCCTTACTGTGAACCTGGCTGACTTAGGTACAGTGGTAGCTCGGTTCTTGAATGCCTTGGTTCACAACCAAATTGGGTCGTGAACAGAACTTTCATGAAAATGTTGACTTGGGTCATGAACTCCGCTTTGGGTGGTGACCAAGATCGCAGCCATCTCCCCACCCTGCGAGTGGGGAGATGGCCACGATCGCAGTTGCGTTTGTGCAGGGAAGATGTGTGTGATCGGGGCTGTGCTGTGCTGTGCCCGTCTTTCCTGCAGGAGCGCGCCCGTACCAGGATTTCTTTGAGAAGCACCACCCCAACATAACTTTAATTAACAGAGTGTTGAATCTGATGACCGATGATGTGGTCTCTCATTTCCGGAGGATTATGCAGCACAGGAAAAAACAAGTGACTATAGACAGATCTTTCACCAAAAGTGACCCTGCAGCTAAGAGACAAAGAAGAGAGGAAACCCCTGAAAGAGATCTCCCCAGTGTCCTTATGGAGGGGGACTCTCCCTCAAAACAGTAACCTCCCCCACCCCACCTGGGTTAGTGTTCTCCACTGTACTGTACAGTACTTTGTTGTTTTGTCACTTTGTTTCAAATTTTTCTGATTAAAAAAATAGTTGCAGAACAGATTAACCTTATTTACATTGAACCTTAAGGGGAAATTTGACTTGGGTCACAACCAATTTGGGTCACAACCAGAGTCATGGAACAGATTAAGTTCATGAGCCGAGGTACCACTGTATTAGACCAGGCCTGTGAGGGGGAAGAGGCCTCTACTATTTATTGAAGCGAAAACAGGAGCCTGGCATGGGCAGACATTCTGTAGCTCTCGCACCACCTGCAAGGACATGTCTCTCAGAGTCTAGTCTCACCCCTAATTTTTGGCTATCTGTTTTATGCTGATGGCAAATTAATCTTTGCAACTCAGAACTCTTTTTAAGGGCAAACCCCTAGAAGCTTTAGTAGTAGGGATGCATCAACGTGTCAGAGGGAGCAGTTTTCTAAAGCAGCCAAACAGAAAAAAATGGCTTTGGACTTCACAGTACCTGAGGCACTTTAAGGTTCAAACAATCCAACTATTAAATCCTTTTATGAAGCCACATCATTCCTATAATGAATTTGCCCACTTGTGCCTGCTGTGGAATTTTTGGACTGTCAGTGGAGAACGGCCATTCTCTGTGGACGACAAAACAGAGATGTGTAAATGTGGGGGTAAGAGAGCAATGTTTGGTATTGCTAGCAGTCCAGCAGGTCATTTTACTATCTTTTGCAGCCTGCCTAACCTGATGCCTTCCAGATGTGTTGGACTACATTTCCCAGCATGCCTCAGCTTCTATGGCTAGTTGGGAAATGCTGGGAGTTGAGGTCCAGCACATCCAGAGGTTGGGAAAAGTTGACCTACATTATAAGGACACCTCCTGGTTTTCCTTTGTACATATTGCAATGGATTCTGCTGACCACCGTACCCAGCAGACCCGAGTCTCTGATGGCTAGCACAGGATAGCACAGATCTACAGATGAGATTTGATCAGGGAAGGGTGCCTGCTGGAAGTGTAAGGCTGCTTGGGCATGCAGCTTCAAGAAAAGCATTTGTCTTCTGGCAGAGCCCTCCTGTCTCCACTGCACAAAGCAGTGATGCCTGCTATTTCTGTGGAGAGCACGTGTATATCCTGGAGCGAGGCAGTGCCGAGGGGCACTTCTTCCATCGAGGCTGTTTCAAGTGTCATCAGTGTAAGACCACGCTGCGGCTAGGGGACTTTGCCTTCAATGAAGATGATGGTGAGTGGGCAGAGATGGCTGTAGCTGAGAATATGTGGTAGCTGGGTCAGAATGACATCGCCACTGGCACCAGCGGGGCAGTATTTAAGTTCTCTGCAACCCGATCGGAGACCTTTCTTTGTGCTGTGTTTCCATTTCTGTAAGAACAGTTCCAGATCCCCCATCCCCCACCTTATCCTCCTTTATGCCCCTTGAGTAGATGTTGGCATGGCATTTTTTGGTGGACAAATGAATGCGAGCAAGATCTTGAACTGATTACAGCCCTCCGGTTTTATGCTCAGGCCATTTCTACTGCATGCTGCACTGTTCAGCCTCCACAGATCCAACTGCACCCAACAACAGAACTTCTGCTGAAGCAACGCGTAAGGTAAGTTGGATGGTCAGATATCTTTAGTGCTGATCGGCAAGGCTGCTCCTTAGCTGATAGTTACAACTGGTAGTCATTCCGTCCTGTCATATTTATGTTTAGAGGTTATGTCATAGACTAGCCTTCTCCAGCCTGAGGCCCTCCAGATATTTTGGACTATAACTCCCAGCCTGCCTGATCATTGGTCCCCCTGGCTGGGGCTGCTGAGTGCTGAAGTCACTTTCTACCACCACAGCTTTTTCAAGCCACCAAGGGTTGCCAGGCAACTTTTAAATATTCAAGCCAATATATGCCATAGAAACCCTGTGGTGGTGGTTTGTGTAAGGTTTAAATAATCCTTGCATAGCCTTAAAATGAGCCGTGGGTTACATGAGGCTTGTTTAACCCTTGTACAACCCAACCCTGCTAGATGACACAACAAATTATAGTTGCAGCTTGGAAACAGCCACCAGTATATACTACAACCTACCTGCTAGATTGTGAGGAGCAGCCCTTGCCTGAACTTCAAAAAACCTTTAGCTAGACATCTGAACAAACCTAGCAGTCATAGAACAAGAAGATAAGTCCTCTTAAGGGTCAGTAACTGGTTAAAGAGCAGAGTAGTAGTAAATGTATGTTTTGCACAGTGAGAGGAGAACATGTGAATCGGGGAATTCTCCCAGGATCTCTGGTGGGAACAATGCTTTTCAACTTGTTGTTAAGTATTGTTGGTTTAGAAATAAGCAGTGAGGTGGCCAGATTTGCAGATGACACCAAATTATTTAGACTGGTTTAAATAAAACAGGATTGTGAAGAGTTGCAGAATGGGCATTAAAATGGCCAATCCAGTTCAGTGTAAACAAGTGTAAAATGATGCACATTGGTGTGGAATGAAACCCCTTACCTCACATATATGTTGATGTGTCTGAACTGGTAGTGATTGACCAGGAAAGGGATCTTAAGATCCTGACAGGTAGCTTAATGAAAATGTTGATCCAGTGCACAGCTGTGGTGAGAAAGACAAATTCTATGGGAAAGAAATTCAAAGTTAAATCACCAATATAGTAATGCCTGTTGTTGTTGTTGTTGTTGTTATTATTTTCATTTCCATACCACCCTGCATCTGAGGCTCTCTAGGTGATACATGTATACAAATGCACGGTGCATTTGGGATATGCAGGACAATTTTGGTCACTGCACCTCAGAAGGATATTGTAGACTGGAAAACTGTAGAAAAGGGCAGAGAGGCTGAAGCAGCTTCTTTATGAGGGAAAGTTACAATGTTTGTAGCTTTAATCTTAGAAAATTGTAAGGAAACGTGGGGGTGCATGTGTCTGACATTTTCGTGCTTGGAAAAACTGAAGGTTTTGTGTTTCTTTTCCCCAGGATTCCTTCCTCTACAAGCCTTCCCAAAAAGGCATTCTAGACATGGCTACAGAAGAGAGTAGAATGGAAACTGATTCAGATCAGCAAGGACCAGATGAGAATCTGTCTTCCATTATGGATCAGCTGCCAGCAGGCAAACCTGAAGAACTTCAGAGATCAGATTCTGAAGAACCCAGTTTATTCCCATCTGGAGTGAATGGAAGTGCAGTGACGATAAACTCAGCTCCACAGCCACATCAGGAGGCTTCTGTTGTGGGTGATGAGGAGTTGGGCAACTCTGTCCCTGAGGCTGACTTGGCTTCACAGGCCATGGGTAAGACTGTAGATGGGGACAGGACTCATCCTAAAAACACTACACCTCGCTTTGAAAATTCAGTGGACAGTGGGCCTCAGGAAGAGTTAAACAAGAAGCAGCTTACAGAAGTGCATGGAGTTGATTTAAATCCTGCAGTTTCTGGAAAAGTGCCAACTGATCCAAGCTCCAAACTAGAACAGGAAACATGTGAAAATATCCAGAGGAGAAGGCTTTACCTGTCAACCCTGGAGAAGCGTGAATTATCTACACTGAGTCCAATTTCAGCCTCATTTCATTTCACGGATATGTGCCTAGAAGAATCCAGCTTCAACAAAGAATCAGAAGGTGACTTTATTCATTTATTGTTTGCCCCATCCAAAGGTTCAGGGCAGATAATGAACGTGCCTGCACAGGGTGGGGCGAGCATTTCAGCAATAAATAATACAGTGATAGCAGATCTGTTAAAAAGGGTTTCCTCTTTTTTCTGAGTGGACTCTGCATGCCAACAGTCAAGACCAATTGTTACCATGTGCGTTTTATTCATAGTTCTATATTTAGATCCTGCCTTCAGATCATATGCAGGTGAGAGGTAATTATTGTAAAGCCAGGAAGTTTCAACTTTGTAGGTGGAGCTTGGGAATGCAAGTTGTTATACGCTGCTTCCTTGTCTACTTTCACCAGCTAATTTCAGCTTTCTCTATTATGCAGTCCCAGATTCTGGTACATTTTTCTTTGTGAAACTGAACACTGAAATGTGTGGCTCTTCCGATGTTGGGAGATGTGCAGCTTCCGTTCACCTTAGCCAGCATAGTTAGTGGTGAAGAATAATGGCAGTTGCCATCTGACAACATCAGGGGGCATACATTTCGTAACACCTGCTTTATCCTTTGTCTGTTGCTGCATAGATGTAAACCGTTAAAACGTTGAACTCTTCCTTCAAAATAACTATGTCCTCATCATGGTCCAGAGACCTCTTCCATCATCCTCTTCCATCATAATGTTCTCTAATGAACTCCTAGCCTTTAAAGCATGGGTGGGCCATTTTTGGTGTTCCAGATATGGTGGTCTATAACTCCCATCATCCCTATCCAGCATTGCCAAAGGGTAAAGGATGACGAGAGTTGTGGCCCTCCAGATGGTTTGGCTTGCCAGTTGCCCAGCCTTGCTTAAAGTAACACCAGGTGGTGCTGGATCAGTCTTCAGTTAACCAGACTCTTTTCTGCTTTCGGCCACTAGTTAACCCTCTCATCCCATTTTGCGCTGTCTCCTCCCTTAACCATCATCTTGTTTTAGAGCCTAAATGCACATTACTCCTACTGTATTTTTTTAAATTAATCACAAGCATGAAGGTGAGGATACAATTCTTTGGATGCAGTGCATAATGAGAAGTGTATCTCTTAATGCTCTTGTCATGTTCCAGCTGGAAATCATTCCCCTCCTGTGGACTGGCGCTTTAGGGGAAAATTTCCAGTGCAAATGTAAGCTGAAATCCTTTCATTTAGTCACAACAGAGAAGTTAAAATCTTCTCTTGCAGCACACTACATTCAAAACAAGAGTCCACACAGATACATCCCTACCTAATTAATTTATCAAAAAATCAAGACATTGTTAAATTTAATGGGGAAAAATACCATGTAGTTTGGCTCATGGACAATGTATCTTTTGCAAACTGTTAAGGGTTCCTGACTGAGGCCTGGGACTATAGTACCGCAGTCCCTCAACTGAAGCAGATTTGTCAGGTCTTGGACTAATGCAGAGATGTTAATGTTTAACACACTACAGGAACTTTCCCCAACCTGGCGCCAGCCAGTTATGCTGGACCAGATGCCAGGCATTGTAAACCAGCACAGCTGGAAGTCAACAGCCTGGGGAAGGCTGTATTATAGCGCTATGCCCAATTGTTGAATGATGCTGAAAAGTCTCTGTCTTGCTACCTATGGACAAGAAGCAAATGCAGTGGGTCCTTGTGCCTGCCTCCCCACTGAAACCGATCAAAGGTCTCTTTTCAGATAATTGATAGCTATAAAGGACACATACTCTCCCCCAGGAAGAACCGTCCTTTCACCTAGAGAGGTCCCTGTGGCACTATCGATGTACAGGCCAATATAAAGATGGATAAAATTGTTCTCTCTGAAAAACGTTCATTCCCAATATTTGCTGTGCTTTGAACAGAGCCATTGGAAACTGGAAGTGACAGTGAAGAGGAAGAGGAAGAGGAAGAACAAGAACAAGAAGGAAGGATCAAAAAGACTGAAATAGATTTTGTGAGTCTAAAGGTCTAAATATGATTTCCTGCAGAGTAGGGCTGGCCTCAGCTGAAGTCATTCATTGGCAGTTCTACATGTTTTTCACAAGAAAATTGTATTATCACCACATTAAAAGCAGGAAAGGACTTTCAATGAGTTGGTTCACATGTCACAGTAAGCCACCATTCTGTGGCATCTCCCATTCCGAATATGCAAGCCATGGTGGGGGCTTGTCAGGTCATGTGAAGTTGGGCCATTTGAGTGTCAACCCTAGATAACCCTTGAACAACCCATGGGGCGGCTCTATGATACACATATTCAGAATGGTGGTCTAGCACTCCTGTCAGAGCCCTGTGGATTAATTAACACACAATGGCTTGTTGTGATGTGTGGACTTGCCCAATATTTCAAATTCTGTGGTCTTTTTTAAGCATCTTCCATTAAGCACCCGGGAGCACACACTCTCTCCCTCTGCACCACCACAGGCCTTTCTAAACCTTTCTCTGTCAACCTACCCACTTTTCATCCTGTGAAAGCACACGTTCTTTTCTTTCTCTTTGCATACCCCTTCTTTTTCTGCTTTTCCTACTCACCAACTCATCTGTGGTCTTCCTTTCTTTTGTTACCCATAGCAACTTGACTCTTTAAAAAAACAAACAAATGGCCCTGATCCACTGCAAGTTATCACACTTTTTCTTCTTCCTCACTTTGAAAGTCTCTCTCTACCTCATCTCTTCTCCATCTCTCCCTTTATATACTTTTTCTCTGCCCTTCTTCCTCCCCCATTTGTGCAACAGGACCCAGCATTTTCACTCTAATGCTAATCAGATACTAAGCAGATACTAATTCCACTCACATTCTTTTGAATCCACAAGAAACAGTCATGATGTGGACAGAATCAGGATTTTGCCCTTCTCTTTTGATGGGTATTTTTAGACCTTGAATTTCCCACAAAGGCCTGAAGTAGGATTGCAAACAGTAACTGGGGTCAAAAAACTTGATAACCTTCACTCAAGGATTGAGTATGGTTGTGTGTGGGTTGTTGAAGCATGAGTTATCGTGTCGTGTTGACGTGGTTGTGCTAACAAGCCATGGCTTGCTAATCAAACAACCCATGAAGAGAATCCATGATTTGTTGTTGGGCTGTGACCTGTGGGTTGTTTCCCCTGGCTTGTTACCTTTACTGACTTCAGATAACCTGTAGTTCAGTGACAGTCTACAGCTCAGACTTGATTGTGGGATATTATGTTGTCCAAATTTAGTGAAGTATTTGGCATTCCTCCAGGAGACTGCAAATCGGCAGAGACAAGATGGCCTGTGGGTTCATAGGAAGAGTAGCAAGCAAATGCATATTGATGGCCAGCAGAGTCTCACGAAGCTGGATAGACAGCCCTCTCCATTGCAAATACTAGGAATGTCCCAGTCTAACCTACAAGGTATGACAGGATAGTGAGTCAGTCTCCCAAGTTGCCTTTCAGTGGCAGGGTAAGCCAGGCTGCATCATTAATCACTCCTGATTCTGTGACAGTTCCTTACTCATTCTTTTTCCCAAGGCCCTGGTGTTGTTGTGCCAGACTCCATTTTGTGTCTCTGTGTGTTCGATATCTGATGTAAAAGGGCGTTGGAGACACTGTTGACTTTGGCTGGAAGGTATGCACCAGACCAGACATTAAATTTGTCTGGATGGTAGATAATGACATTTTAAACAAGTCTTCCATTTGATGCTTGTGTGTGTGCTGTGTTTGTAGCACTCCTTGAGCTTGACTGAAGAAGCTCAGCGTCCCACCTGGAAAAGGACCTTGGCACGACGAGCCAAAGAAGCCCAAATGAAGAGGTTCTGCAAAGCGCAGGTATACTTGTGCTCCACTGTATGAGGTGTGATCTAACTTCCACTGGAGCCTTCCCTAACCAAGTGGCCCACAGATATTTTGCACTAAATCGCTCTTTATTACTAGCCAGCAGAACCACTGCCCATGCTGGCTGAGGAAGATGGGAGTTGGAGGCCAATAGGACTGGAGGGCAACATACTGAGGAAGATAGACCTATTTCTCAGTTTCTCTCTCCCTTTCCTCTTGTACTTCGTTTGCTTTCGGACTCTGCCTATTGCTCATAGCCCTTCTCATGTGTGTATGTAATTGCATCTGGCAGTCTCACAGCTGCATATGGCTGCCGTATAGATGCAGCTGAAGTTCATATGCAAGATAGCCGGCTAACATGCAAATGTTAAACATAATCCAGTGCCAACATTCTTTCAGTGTAAGTTGACCACTTGCATATTCCAAAAACATTACCATCATTTGATCAGTTAATAAATCAAGTATTTATTGATAGATCTGTAAGAAAGAGTCTAATGCTTATGACCAAAGCCCAAGTTAGGCTGTAGTCCTGCACTTGGTCGGCCAGCTTCCAACAGACTGCAAAAAGTTGTGGAAGTGGCACTACTCTGCCAGCGGGGAGATGATCTACCAGGGTGGTGACACTTCTACCCCAGGGAAGCCCCTGAGATGCCAGCAGAAAGTTCTGCCAGTGATGTTTGGTCTGTGGTAGGCTGGTAAGGAGGCATTCTTGGGAGGTCTTGGAGCCACAGTCCATTCAACTTGCCCTCAAAGGATAAAAACCACCAGCTGTGAAGTTGGCTAGTGAGTCCCCTCCATGGGTGAAAAGGCGGTGGGATGAAGAAACGGGGGCAGAGCGCTTTCTCTTACACCTTTCACAAAACTCAGTGTGAGCTAAGCAGGCCTTAGGAATTCTACCACAGATTCTCTCCCACAGCAACTAACAGTTGTTGGTTACTGTTTCATAACCATTAGCATTAAGGGAACAATTCTTTGGTCCCAAACAGCATCCGAGGGGGCATAGAATAGCTTGGATTCCCAGATCCAAGTCAGAGACCTTGCAGCTGGGAATCAGAGTCCCAACCCCTTCCCCCTTGCTGCCAGAGTAGGAAAGAACCCCAGAGAGGGGAAGAAGAGGGCATATGGGAAAAGGCGAGAGACCAACAGGCCAGGGTATCAGCCATCCTGAAGCCTCTGCAACTCTCCTTCCCTCCCCTTCTGAAATGCTGCACCTAGAAGTGGGGGGAGCCCATTTAGCTGAACATGCAAGATGGGGACAGGGAGGTGAAGATCTGCTTCCTTAACTCTGCATTGCATGACCATGAGCCTTGGAGTTGTGGGCTTACAGCCATGGCAATCAGGTTATTCCCTACATTATAACCTTGTTGTAATTGTATCACTAATAATGTTATGGAAAGATAAACTTCATGGCAGCAATATTTTTGACACATCTTCTAGGTTTTTATTTGCAGCCACAGGGAGTGGTCAGTTAAAATGTTTATTTGAAATACTCTGAGTAGCTGACGGCTTCACAGTTGTGTATGCAAGAGGGAACAGACTATGTCCATAGGTCAGGCCACCCTGTGGCCAAGCAAGCTGAGGATAATGGGAACCATAGTCGAGCACAGCAGGAGGTCACTAAGTTGTGGGCAGCTGCCTTTGGTTTTTAAAGTACACCCCCACCAGGGCATTTTAATGCTGTATTCTACTGGTGCAGGGTCAGATTTCACCACTTAAGTAGTCATTTGATGGTCTCTGCCCCTCCCAGCTGTTCCAGGAAGTTGCTCCCCTTTCTTAAGCTTCAAAATCCTCCTTTGCTATGACTAACTCTGCATTCTTGGGCGTTTCAGTTAATCCAGAGGCGGCTAGAAGAGATCGAAGTCACTTTCCGTGAGCTTGAGAAAAAGGGAGTGCAGCTGGAGCGCTCTCTGCGGGAGAGGGGAGGTAAGAGCCTAGATTTCCTCCGATGAGGATGGGGTGAGGCTACAGCAGAGGAAGAAGTGTGCCAGAAGGAGCACGCTGAACCTGAGATCAGCTGACGTGCCAAAGTAACTTCCACCTCCTGTGTTTTGCAGGAACCGGGTCTGAGCTAAAGACACTCTGGATGAACCAGCTGCTCTCCCTGGTTCAGAAGAAGAACAACCTGCTGTGTGAGGAGTCTGATCTCATGATGGCGTAAGAGGCCGTTTAAACCTGGCACTCCCAGCAGCAGAGGGCAGGGCAGCCCCAAGATGCTTTGCTGCCGGAGGCAAAGGACAAGATGGGTCTTCCTGCCGTGCTGGTTGGCTCTGCTGCCCCTGCGGGGAGCAGAGGAACCCGAGGGCAGGCTCGGTGGTGCACGCTCACCTCTGTCCTCCAGCACCTTGCCGTGCTAGCACATCCTCTCAGGAACAGCCACTTCGGGCAGCTGCTCCACTCTGCTCCAATTTCCTGTGCCCAAAGGGCAGCATGAGCAGCCCCATGGGGGCAGGGGGGTGGGCAGTGTCTCCACACACCAGTAATAACCCTTAGAAAACTGGGTTGCCACTGACTGGGAAGGGCCTCCTCCCACATCACCCTCACTTCCCCATGTTACTCGGGTGGCACTTCTGAGGCTCCCAAGCAGGAAGAATATGGCATGTCCTTCCATTTAGTCATAGTCATCTTGCTATCTTGTGTGTTTGGGTGTTATAAAATGGGTGGTGTTCCACATTCTGTGGCACCCTGTGCAGGGAATGCCGTACATGCAAAGGCCTGCTCCTTGAGGGCATTTGTGCTATCAGTGGACTACAATATGGTGTAACATCAGGGGCTACTTAGCATTGGCCCCACTGCTGCTCCCGTAGTGCATTTCACCCCTTTCTATAACCTCTGCATAGGCCTAGAGAAAGCTTGGGATTAACAGAGTTTGTAGCCCCCTCATTGATTCTGATGTCATTTTCAGCCCACTTCTTTATTCAGTTATATACAGCTTATCCAAAAAGGAAAAAAAAATCCCACCAGCTACTACAGTTTGCTCTTAGTGGCAATTTTTACAACTGAAAACATGCAGCTGCCAGAATATGACTCAGACAAACTCCAAGAATATAGTAGATTCACAAGTGGCACTGGACCTAATTCTTCTGTGAAATGACTACAGCATGGATGTGGAAGAAATATTCCACTGCTAATGTCCAGCCAATTGTACAAGTATTTATTTGCACGAGAAACACAGACAATCTCCCTGGGAAACAAGGGTCAGGCATGTCTAATTCATGACGACTGTCACTCTTGTCCACTCGCTCCTTCTCATTTAACCTTAAAAGTATATAGGTATTTGAGCTGACTGTGTAATGTCAATAGAGGAGAATGAATGGAAGGCTTCTGGCAGGATGGTGGAAAAAGATCTCTCGTGCGATCGCAAGCTTTTCCTCAATTGTGGACAACAAAGCCTTGTCATTCTTTTATGCCGTAGGGTGCAAGAGTTGAAGTTAGAAGAGCAGCAGTGCCAACTGGATCAAGAGCTGCGACAGTACTATAATATGAATGGTAAGAGGGGCTGGGATGGGGACTAAAGCATTCCTACTGCGGATGCAGGTAGAGGCAGATACTATGTGGGGGAGGGGGAGGGAAATGGCTGACAAGCTACAAGAACAGAGTGAGCAAAGGAGGCGGCATGAAAGATGTGCAGGACAATGCACACTCTTCCAGTGTATTGGACTCTGTCTCCCAGAATCCCCTAGGCATGCAGTGGGAGGTGCAGTCTTATAGATCAGGAAAGCCCCAGGCTGGGGAAGCCTCCTTTATGCTAAGAAAGGAAGTCCTGCTGCTGCTCAGTTAATCACAGGGACTTTTTAGGGCGCAGTCCTACATGTTAGGCTGAAAAAAGTTCCACAACTCCCAGCATTCACTGCAACTTCCAGCTGGCTTGAGCAGGCTAGTTGTTGTGGGGTGTTTTGCTATCTAAGCATGCATAAGATTGTTCTGTTGATCAATCAGAAACATGTTTAAGATTTAGCCAGCTCCATTCAGAGATTAGATGCAGGTATTTGGGGGCGTTGCCTGCTCGAACTTGCTTCTCATTTATCATCTGAGCTGCTTACCAGTTCAGCAAGCAAAGCCTGGCTGCAGTGGTCTCCACGGTGTCAGTGGTCTCTGCAGTTGACGTTTGAGAGTGGCTTGCAATCCAATATGTTGAGGTTTCTGCATATTAACTTGCAGGATTAAATATTAACTAGCAGAACTTGCATATTAAATTATGCATACTGAGCCTGTTGCCTTCTGCTGCATTGGCTGTGCCTGATTCTTTTACCAATGACCACGGAAGGCCTCGGATTATTCGACAAGGGAGCCAAGGTCAGTTGCACACAGGGAAAGAGGCAAAGCCAAGAACACAACTGCAAAATGCTCAGTTTTGCTAATTCCGTTCTAGTTGGAGGCTGTTGAATTATTCAGGACACGATCCCACAGCTTCCCGGGATTGCCTGCAGGGCTACAGGTTTGCTTAGAGTCCCAGCTTTGAGACCGTGTGATTTCAGAGCTGGGAATCTGAAGGCCAAACCCCTGCCCTGCCAGTGCATGAAGGACCTTGCTAGCTGCCTCCCTGAGGTTGCAAATGAGCCTCAGAGGGAAGAAGAAGGGACCTGCTTGGGGGAGGGAAGCTGTGGCCAAAACTTAAATAGCTGTCAGCATCCTTCCTCCTGGAAGTTTAAATAGCCAAAACCAGCCTTTTAGATAAAAATCAGGGTGCGAGGCACAGCAAAAGCAGCTGCCCCCCATGCCCTGCTTGGGGTACAGGATGCATGCAAGTCTCCAGAGGCTGTGGGCAATACAACTGTGCTGTGCTGGTGTATTCCGCATGCCTGATTCAAACGGAAAGCCTTGAAACGTTCTATCTGAGGTAAGCAGTGCCAGATTTAATGAGCACTGAAGTACACAATGGATAGGACTTCTTGCTCTCGTCAGGTAACATAAATATGGATTAATCACCCTGAAGCACTTGCCCTTTCCTGGTGTTCTTACGAGTCGTTCTCCCATGTGTGTGGGAACTGATGTGTTGCAACCCATGCTGAAGGCAGAGGTTAGGTAGTTTGGAGTCGTTCAGAAGGGGAACTGGCAAGGACATTGTAAGTGGCCAGCTGACCCTGCTTGAGCTCACTTAACCATGGAGGAGAAACAGAAGATAAAATGGTGGCAGTAAGCGAAAAACTTGCTTCCCTTACGGCAGGAGTGGAGAACCTGCAGCTCTCCAAATGGTGCTGGATTCCAGATTTTATCCGGAGGGTGTAGCACCTACAGGTGAGCTCAGTGCCATGACAGTAACTTGCTCTGAGCCCTGTGTGTGTTTTTTAACAGAGGCTTCAAAAACTCTTGAGGACCAGCTGGCAGAGAAGAAGATCCTGTCCCAGCTAGTGACGGTAGTGAATCAGCGCAGTGCCCTGATTGAGATGCAAGAGAAGAAGCGTCTCAGCGAGCTCTCTGCATATGCTCCATTGAACCTCTGGAAGAGTTGAGTTGGCTGGACCGAAGTCGCTGGGACTTAAGTCTTTGTTCAGAAGGCTGGCGCAGCACAGAGCTGCACAAGGAAGGAAGCTGCCCTTTAGCAAAGATCTCTTTAAGCCATCCCGGCCCACGTGGGATGCTGCACAAAATGACAAAAGGGGCCCAGACTGTGGCAGCAGCAAAGTGTGTGCTGTGAGCAACATCTGAGGTTTCCGCCAATGCCTGCAAAGAGTCAGGGCGTATGCATGGTTTCTGTGGTGCTTTCTAGCTTTTCATAGGAAGAACTAGCCTGGCCTTGATGCTCCCCCAGCTATAGGGCTGTGACTGTGTGAAGCAATAGTAAGACAGGAAGCACAGTAGATTTTTTGTTTTTTGCCCAAAGCAATTTTATTACAATGTATCTTTAAGATTGTAACCGGTGTAATGAGACAGTTGGAAGATGAGTAAGTGCCTGCAACCCCATCTCAGCAGGCAGCTTTGCTTTCATGCACTGCTGGAAGCTGCAATGTTTGCTACTCCAGCTTCTTAAGGAGTACCAGAGTTGGCGTCCCAGTGTGGAAGTAAACAATACATGTTCCCTCTTTGCCTTTTGTCCAAGCCCTTTTCTAAACAACCACCATGCAATGTTCCTTCAGGCAAGTTGGAGGAGCTTTGCTGAAGAAGTACTGGAAGTACTTGCCTGGATCTCACAGCTTCATGTTAGTCCAAGACGGAGAAACAGCAGAAACTTCAAAAGAATATGCAAAGTTAAACAAAGGGGTTTTTGAAACAGGGCATGAGAGATTCGCTGGCTGGAGGTGTGAGGCTGGGAATAGACTCTCCCAAATTAAAAATGGCACAGACATGTGAGGACACAGGGCCATCACTAAAGAGCCAAGTAGCTGTCCACACCTTCGCATAAGTAACACATTTAATAGGTGTTGTATTTCCTGAGATAATGCTTGACTGTGGTTTGACTACTGCATCCTGCTATGGAAGCACAGCCGTAAGAGGTACACCACACGAAGAGTGTTTACTTCACAGTAAACTGCTCTTGCAAGGCCTTAGGGAGCTGAGATCACTGTTAAATAACACAAGTCCAGGTAGGAAGAGAGAGCTTTTGTTCTGATTGGAACGTGGCTGTGCCTGGACTGGAATAAAGCCATGATTCTGACTGGAGGCAGTTTTCTCCATTTCAATAAAGATGCATGGACTGAACAGCAAGTGCTGTAATGCTATTTCTGATATAAGATCTGTTCAGGTTTTTTTTTTCACTCCAAACTTTTGAGAAGCCATCCAACTGCTGCGTCCACCTCCGTGTAAGAAATGGAAGTGTCCTTGAAGGAATAGGATGCAATTCCTCTGCACAGGTAAGCAGGTTTGGCCTCTGTAATCTGCCTGGATGGGAGACCCTCTGCAAGCCTAGCTAAGCCCCTCAGAAGAGCAGGATAACCCTCACAGGAAGAGCCGAATAGGCTTGGTAGATAAACGCCTGTTTGCATTGCATATGTTGTAGCATGATTGACTTGATGTTTTCAGAGGCCTGTGCACAGAACAGGTAGCACTTTGGTATGCTGCTTCTCACAGTATTCTTTTCGAAACTGCATGCGAGAGCTGATTCTCAGCTACCATGACTATCCACTTAAAAATGCCACACAGCACTGGCTGGCAGCTCCCTTTGCCAAGGAGGTATCTTGAAAGGGGTGGCAAGGAAGGAGGCATTGTCCTTTCCAGTACCCTCTCATCTCACACTCTCGGAAGAAAAGCAAAGCAAAGCACAGAAATGGGCTAAGCATGGCATGCTTCCTCCAATTCGGTCGTATGCACACAGCCATTCATTTCTCATTCTAGCATGTTTTAGAGGAAGGGCAGTAGCTCAGGTAACCTGCTTTGCATATAGAAGCTCCCCCCCCCCCTCCAGTCCCTAGTCTCTCCAGGTATTGCTGCTGCAGTTAGAATGGCCCAGTGATCCTAGTCAGTGATGGCAACTCACACTCAGCAGCCAAGTATGGGTTGTCACTAAATTATGTGTTGTGGAAAAATGGGCTATTATGGTGTCTGAACCCAGCTTTGCTAACAAACCATGGTTTGTTAACCATGCACGACCCATGGTTGGTTGTTAGGTTGTAAACTGTGGATTACTGATTACTAGCACATCATGGTTTATTAACAAAGCTGGATTCGTGCACCATGACAACACAATTTTCTAGAATAACCCAGTATGGTATATTGGTTAGAGTGATGGGGTGATTTTGGGCCAGTCACTGACTCTCAGCCTAACCTACCTCACAGGGTTGTTGTGAGAATATAATGGTGACTGGCTATGTAAGCCACCTTGAAAGGAAAAAAAAAGTGGGATATCAATGTAATGATAATACTCCACAGTTTAATGAGAACCCAAACTCATTTGCTGAGAGTGAGTTATGTTGTCTGAACCTCGCCAGACTAAGGCAGCTTCCTGTGCTGAGGAGTAAAAGAGGAAAAACTTAGGGCTTTTCAGCTCTAGAGGCAGAGAATTGGGAGGGTAGCTGTGGAGGGGTCCTTTTCCCATAACACTGACAATACTGTGTAAGAATTGCAGCTGCACAACATTCTGCCAAGAACTGGTCGTACAAGGGTGCTTGCGCAGCACATGGTGCCCAGAGTCAGCGATGCATGAACATGCGAAGGCTTTGTGGCAAGGTCCATACTCTGGATGCCTGCCCAGGTATGACCCCTGGTGTCCCTTGTTAAAAGGACTGTGGCCAAGAGAGGTGGAAGCTCTGTTTGCCCTTTGCTTGAAGGAAACCTGTGATGCTGATGAAATGCTTTTGTACTTTTAATGGCTACACATGTGATTAATGTGTCAAAAGGTTCCACCAGCAAATACTACTTTCTGCTTAGCTAAGCTGAAGACAATGCTAGCTGTTCTAAACTCAAAAAAGTAGCTGTGTTTAACTGCTGGCACTGAATATTTTAACTTGCCTGCTTGGTACAGTAGGCAGTTATTGTAAACTGCTTAGGGATTTTAATATATTAAGTGGCATCAAATACTGTAATAAAATAATTAATACCACAGTTTACAGTAGTGATTAACTGAGCCACTCTGCATTTTATACCATTAGAGCAGTGTAACGGTTTTATTGGGTTTTTTTTAAAGCTGGTTTCCAAACATACAGAAGTGGGTGACATGTAAATTCCACTAGTCTCGAAATTCCCTCCTGTGCAACTGTCTTTATGCTACAATTTTTTTTTAGCAGAACCATCAATGGAAAGCTAAGTTGCTCTAAAATCCAGATTTAAAAAATTCTAAATCCCAGCTTTACAGTATCAAAGTATCAGAGTGTGATTACACATAAAACTATTCATCCTTAGAACCTAGCAGCAAAGAGGAGCCGCTGCTCTCACTCTCAGCAAAAGTTTTTCTGTCCCTGTCTGAGTTCTGGCAGCTGTACCAAAGCTTCACTGGGCGCTGAGCTTGTCCTGCAGCGTCTGCAGCCCCACCCGCATTTGCTCCTCTGTCCTCTGCAGCACCCTCACTTCGATGGTGTGGAACAGGTAGAACATGGCCGAGATGAGCAGCACCACCACTGCCAGCAGCCCAAGCAGAGAGAAGGAGAGCCTGGGGAAGGGCGGCTGCAGGGCCCCCCCACAGAGGGAGCTCAGGCCCATGGCTCCTTGGAGCAGCAGCAGGAGCCAAGCCAGGAGGGCCATGCGCGTGCAGGAATGCTGCCGGAGTTGCGCGGAGTGCAGCCCCACCCGCACCTCCATCCGGGCCTCGTTCAAGATGTCCACCAGTGCTGGCTCTAAAACAGAAAAAGAGCACGATGATGGAGCCCGACCTTAAATGGGCAGCGATGACAACTGGGATGTTGCTTACGGTTCGGGGGCTGTGGCAGGGGCATGGAACGGTATGCCCTGGGGCAAATGTGGCCTTCCGAAATTGCCCCAAAGCCCCACCTCTTTCCCTTGCCACACACCTTTTCCCCCAACTGCTGATCACTACCCAGTGAGCTCAGATCATGTGTAGATTTTCCCCCATTCTAGAAGGCTGGCGATAACGGTTTTAAGTTAAAACGATGCTGGTATTTTGGGCCTCGCATTCAACCCTGCTCCCTCGAGGCAGCCTGCTTGATCCAAAGGTCTTGGCTTTGACTGGGAGCAGGAGCTCTTGGGGGAGGCACGTGAAAGAGCTAGAAAATAAAAGGCACACACACACAGTTGCTGGATACCTGCACCATTCCTCTTGTTTCAGATCAGTGGAACTTGGGCACTCACCAACTCTGGGGTGGTTCAGATCCTTGGCAGATGGTCTTTTATCCACAGAGAGCGTGGCCATGACAACTTCATGGTCGGAGTAAGGAAGGTCCTTGTTTGGAGAAGTTCCCATGGTCGTCTCGTGACTCTTACATTTTATTTCATACTGAGACATACCCTGCAAGTAGGGAGGTTGTGCAGAATGATCAGACGTTCCTTAGTGCTGCGGGTGAGTGTGTGTAGGCATGTGCATGTGTGAATGCAGCGAAGTACTCTCAGAAATGCAAGGGTTAGGTTGTGAACTACAAGAGAGGAGGCAGGGAGGAGCAACTGGTTCCCATGTCTCGTTCTTTTATTAAATTACTCCTCAATCTCAACTCTTCCCATTTAACATTCATTGCATCATGTCCATAGTTTTCTGGCCATCAGTTTTGTGGCAGAATTTTAATGCCTATGAAGATATTTTTCAATCTTGCTTTCTGAAGCAAACTCAGCTCCTTCCTCTTTTCCCAGTGATTTAATCATCGGCCATCTTTACTGTCCTCAGCAATAGAACACCATTCCACCTCTCTAATTTAAGCTGAGAACATTGAGGGAAGCAAAGTGGCTCAAGTCTAATTCAGATTGGAAAGCCATTCTCAGCTGCTTTGGCCTATTTTTTTTTTTTAGTTTTTTACTGTTGGGCAGTCCAGAATCTGCCAAGATACGGCATAGTATTTGCAAATACGTTAAATAAAATAAATCAGCCAATAACGCTTTCCAGAACTCTGTACACGACAGGCCAGTCTCTGTTTTCTGTGCCTCAAACTACAAATACCTTATAAAGGATGTAGTCAATACGAATGCCTTTGGGATAACACCGCAGTTCTTTCTTGCTCGTGAAGCAGTTGGCCGGCACCAGAGTGCAGCCCTCCTCGCAGCCCTGAAAGGAAGACCACAGTCTGAATTCACCATCCTGACAAAAGATTCAGAGTACCTGCAGCCTGGCTGGGGCCTCAGGGCACTGGAGCGTCGAGGAAGCTCAAGAGAGCCAGCAGTGTGAAGATCACCCTGCAAGCCCTATTAAGGTTGCCAAGCTCTTGGCTGAGTCAAGGGAAGGAGAAGATGTTTCTAGATCCCAAGGTGACCTCCTTTGTGGAGGTATTCAGAAACCTCCAGCAAGATGAGCTGAGAGAAATGAGAGGGAACACCAGCCCTGCCAAAAGAATTAATTCCCCCATCTTCCTCTTCCCTCCCCATTCCTTTTCCTTGTGCGTCATGTCTTTGTAGATCATAAGCTATTGCCACAAGCAAAGACTATTATGATAAATGATTATATGTAAACTGCTCTGGAAGTCCTTTTCAGCAGAGCAGCAGGATTAAATAAAAATCAACTAACTAACTTGCCAACTGATACTACTGAAGGAATGAAAAACATCAGCATGGAGAAAAACAACACCCGTCCTTTCCTAACCATCTCTGAAGATGGCATCAGGGACTTACCTCAACCCTCTCGGCGGCAATGAAGGAGTCCTGGAGGCCAGCCCAACTTCGCAAGAGCCGAATGCCAACATCTTCTGGGTGCATGTTCAGATCCCCACCAAGCAGTACCACATCGGCGCCTTTTGACGTGTGCCTGCGAGCAAACAGTGTTGGTGTCACATAATGGGAGGGAACAGACAGACCACATCACTGCCAGGGTGCATTTTTTTCCTGCTAAGAGAGACTGCAATTCATCAAAAGCGTCCTTTCCCCTCTGCCACTGGAAGGCCTGGGATGATCTGAGCTGTAATAAGCTTCTTTCATGCCAGAACTCTTTACCACTGGCTCAGAAGGTGGCACTAGAGGAAGGACCTTCCCAGTGGTGGTCCCCCAATTATGTAAAGATCTCCTTGAAAAGCCTCCTTCCCTTGGGTATTTGCTAGCATATGATGAGTCTTAATCAGGACTTGAATTGTCCTCATTGCTGATTACTTAAACTAGCTTTAGATCTCTCTGTTTATAAAAACCATATACTTACATATACATTCTATCTATCTATCTATATCTATCTATCTATCTATCTATCTATCTATCTATCTATCTATCTATCTATCTATATATTTTCTGATTTATGTCCTGCCTTTTTCCTACAAAGGGCTCAAGGCAGCTTACATCATTCTCCTCCTCCATCTTATCCCCGCAACAACAACCCTGTGAAGTAGGTTGGGCTGAGAGTCTGTGACTGGCCCAAAGTCACCCAGTTGGCTCCATGGCTGAGCGGGGACTAGAACCCAGATCGTCTGAGTCCCAGTCCCATGCTCTTAACCACTACACCACACTGGCTCTCAGTGTATATATATAAACCTTATATATTTAAGGTTTTAATCTCTGTAAACGGACCAGGGAGCTTCAGTTATTGGGCAGTATAGAAATGCAATGGATGAATGATCTACCTCTGGAACAAAAGGAATGCACATATCACTGGATTCCAGAAAGTATCCACTGCAACAGAAACCTGATCAAAATCAGGGCTTGGAGACTTCCACTGTTACTTACTGTATAAACTGGCAAAGCTCCCAGGCCTGAACTACTCGATGGGGCAGGTAAATATCCTTCTCCCTACAGTATTCCGCATGGAGCTGGGGAGGAAAGAAAAGACACACATGAAATTCACATGTGTATAATGAGCTTGAAACTATGAGGCAGCTACCTCTGTGCACTCTACGGTTGTTTTTTAAAAAAGTTAAAAACACTTCACTTTTTGGGTACCAATTCAGGTCAATCAAAGGAGCCTATTCAGGTTCAAATGAGCCAAGACCTCTTGAGTAGCTTTCCCCTGAGTATCTTGAGATAAAGTGATAGAAACAATAAAAGACTTCTTTGGTAGATGATCTACACAATTGTAGATCAAGATTGTCAGCTAAGGCAGCGCTCTGATTGGGTGCAACACTCAACTGTGGTTTGCCATTACTGGCATAAACCTTTCCCTTGTGCCCTCTCTTCACTTCATTCCACCAACACGACTGCAAGAGATCAGAAGTCTTTGCTTTCTATTAACAGCTATTTGTTATGTCCATACTTGGAACTACAGTTTATTTTAAGCATTCCTTACCTTCTCATCCTGGCCTTCCTGCCTTCCTGCCTTCCTGCCTTCCTGCCTATCTATCTATCTATCTATCTATCTATCTATCTATCTAGCACATTTATAGCTAGATAAATCGATTTCACCCATGGCATCTCTAGGTGGCTAACATCAGACTAGTGAGGAGGATAACAAACAGCGGCTACTAATAATGCAAATAAAAGAACCAAAAATGTTTGGGCTCTCATGGGCACCCTCGGCTAGTGAATCAGCTGTAAAAATGGTGCCACCACTTGCACAAGAGCTAATGTGGTCCGATAGGAAAAGGCTTTCTGTAATCACTGGATTTGCACTGCAGCTGCAACAGTGGGAAGTGCTGCCTTGCATTCCCCATGCCACACTCCTGACATCTAAGACTCCCTACACTACAAGCTACCTTTGCACATTTTTTGCAGAGGGCCAGCAGTGTTGAAGAAGTCACTCACCCAATTTTTAACAAACAAAACCCCCAACAAATAAATGAACATACTCACATGAGTCACGTAGACATTGAAAATAATGCCATGGATCTTTAGCACCACGAGCCCCACTGATTTGCCAGTAAACCAATCTCCATGCTGGAACTGGGAGGGGGAGAAGGAGGAGAGTCTGCACAAGGCACGGAGGAAACTATCATGACAAAAGCGGGGCTCTTCTTTGCTCCCTCCCCTAAGCAAGGCGTCACCCACTCACCATGTAAGGGTAGCCGTTCACAGAGTATTGGTACAGGAACGTGTCCAGGATTTGGTGTCTGGAGAAGACGCAGAGCCCGCTGCCAATCATCCCACTATGAAACAGACACAGACACCAGCCACAGTCATCACAGAGTGTTGTGTCCACTCCCCGTGTCACCCTTGCTATGCCACCAGTCCACTCTCATCCACCCTTGGAAGTCCACAGCTGAGCTGTCTGGCGTGTACCTACAGGAAAGGTCTAGCAGTCAAGATCTTCAAGTATTAATCCTAGCTTTAAGAAGGGAAAGTAGGCATCACAATGACACTGGAGATTCAAGAGTGGAATGCCTTATCCCTTCCCTATACAACTTCAAACTGAGGTCAAAAAGCAGGTGTCCACCAAAATGCAAGCTTAGGAAGAATTTATTCCACAATATGGTGGCCTCCAGGTGTTTTGGACTACGGTAGCTACAACTCCCAGCTGCCCCAATCGGCATGGCAGATTATCAAAAATGTAGTCCAAAACATTCAACTGGGGAGGACTGGTTTATGAAATTATGGCAGGAGGCCATCAAAGCTTGGTACCCATCTGTGATCCACCAATTAATTAATTAATATCCATCTATCTATCCATCCATCCACCCATCCATCCATCTCCTGGCTTTTTCCTACAAAGGGCTCAAGGCAGCTTACATCATTCTCCTCCTCCATCTTATCCCCACAACAACAACCCTGTGAGGTAGGCTGGGCTGAGAGTCTGTGACTGGTCCAAAGTCACCCAGTTGGCTCCATGGCTGAGTGGGGACTAGAACACAAATCGTCCCAGTCCCATGCTCGTAACCACTACACCACACTGGCTCTCCAGATGCATCTTACAAACACGAGAGGCACAGAAATAGAGAATTCTAACAGCTGTTAATAAGGGGATGGCAACTTGGTGCTGTCCAGATGTTTTAGAGTACAGCTCCCATAATCCCTGACCATCAGCCATGTTGCCTGGGTTTTATGGGAACTGTATTCCAAAACATCTGGAAGGCACTGAGTTCCCCTTCTTTGTGCTCACTAGTTCCTAACCTCAAAATGTTCTTGAAATTTCGTATGCCCCAAACCATTGTCTTCACAGATGAACATCTGTGGGCTGGCTGTACATCAGCTATATGCACTGATGTATCCTGAACCCATGCATCCTCAGCTGCAGTGTTGTGACCCACTGTGTGCTGCTGAATTGTGGGATATGCTCTGCAGGCCACAAGGATCACTCCTCTGCTCCATATACCAGGGCCTGCTTGATGTTAGGGCCACCTTGTGCTGCACCAGTCCTCTCGGAAGGGTTACCAAAACCTTGCCACCTCTTATCTGCTGTATTACAGTGCGGATCTAGTTAGTGAAAGTAACTAGAGGTTATAGGGCTCGGAGTGGAAGTGAAAATCCGGTGGTCTTCTCCTGGCCTGAGGCAAGGGAATAACTGCTCACAAGGAGTACCTACGCCCTCAATTGCTAGCTGGACCTCCAAGCTCCTTTGCCCCACTCACAAGACCAGGGAGCCTGTCCCCAAAAAGCATATTTGCAGGCTCAGTCACCCTGGCACACCTGGTAGGCAAATAGCAGGGGGTTGGACCCGATGCCCTTTTGACCCCTTCCAACTCTACTATTCTATGATTCTATTTTTACCTACTGAGGGAACAAATCAGTTGGAGAACAAAGGACAATTACCAGCGGGGTAAGGTTTCTGCCCAAGTAGAAGTGGCAGAATTTGAGTGCAACTAACAGAAGTTTACCTTCTGACCAACATGTAGCACCACCTATGGCCAAGGTGACCTTTACTCCAACTTACCTGGCTATTTACCAGTTCTCAAGAAAAAAACACAAATTATGGCTGAGGGGCTACCTAATTTCCTTCGTACCTTTTAAAATAGTGGGATGAAGGGTAGCAGGCAGACAGTTTATTTTTCAGCTCCCCATAATCTTTCTCACTCCATACCTGGAAAAACAGGGAAAGTATTATCACAATCTTCACAAACCAAGGAATGGAAAGGGCAAACTGATCCAAGGACCAAGGCTCCCATACTGAGCTTCACTGAATCACTCCAGAATATCTCCCTTGCTAACCATGCTTCTAACAGTGTATGTATAACACATGCGCACAGTGTTTTACAACTTCACAACAGCCCTAGAAGGCAGACCACTGTTGCACTGCTCTGCAATGAGTAGAGGCCAGTGATGTGCCCATGGCCATGTGATATGGCAGTGTCTGAGCTGCAAGATGAACTCTCAGTTTTAAGCCTGGCATACTGAAATCCTCACCTCCTGTAAGAGGGCCAGGTCAAATCCCTCCTTGCTGAGGACATCACCAATCAGTTCAATGCGCTTCTGCCGTAATTTACTCAGGTAGCGAATGGCCCTGGAAGGGGTGGAAAGGGAAAGGGAGTCAGTGAAACTGCACCTTCCATACAGGATCGCTGCTTATGGCAATTCATTTTCTGAAGGCAGGAAAGAAAGGAGCATCAAGCTGAGGACCAAACTTGTCACCAAGAGGAGCGTTCCAGCACTTACGGACAGTACCTTCACAGGAGCAATTTCAGTTTGGACCACAACAGGGGAGGAAGCATTAATCTACTCCATGCTCTGCAATCCTGATCGTGAAGAGTGTCCACACTTCCCACTAGCTGCTACTTGCATGGTGCTGGATACATGGGCACATTTAACATGGAATCTAAGTTTACCTCTGTTAGACAACAATAAGGCTGAGCAAAGCTATTAAATGTGTGACTTACAAAGTTAAAGTTATTTGGCCTGTTTCACAGAGGATGGGTTTGCGGGGGGGGGGGGGAGTGGGCTGGGAGTGAATTTTGGCAGCCAAAACCAAAAAGAGGAAGACACTTATTAGATGGAGAAAGCAGAGAGCACACAAACTTGTATTTCGTTACTCTTACTTTTGGGCTTTGTTTTTGCCTTACAGGCTTACCTAAAAATGGGAACAGGTTTGCTGTGGAAATGCACCCACAGCTTCTGGTCAGATGTATCACCAGCTCTTGCCAAGCTTCAAGGGACTGCAGGTCTAACTGGTTTGTTATATACCATAGTACTGGCTAGCCAAGAAGCCTCCTCTACCCCATAGCAATTCCACTCCCACTTTACAAACAATGATTAATTCTTCCCTAACCCTCTAATAATAAAAGAAAGAACCAAATTAAGTTTTTAAGACATAGCTATACAAGCAATACTTTAAAAAAAGAAAATAGAGGACAGACTGATGCACGGAGTGGAGCAACAAATCAGAAGTCTAAGGCCTAATCTACACATGCAGAATAAACTGGCAATAAGATGGAAGAGCCTCAGCATGGTAAAATACACTGCATAAATTCCCTCCTACATTAGAAAAATGCTCTGCAATCAGAAGGGTATTGGCTGGAATAGAAACCTTTATGTTCTAGGTTTCATGTTTGTAACAGGGTTAGTAAATGGGAGAGTAATAATACAAAGAGGGCGTCCCTAGCCTTACAGCCATGATTTGGCCGGGTTTACTCTACCACCTCATTCTGCTGCATATCTCTACCAGGTCGAATTCAGCACCTGAACTGGAAGCAAGTGCATAGCATCTGCAGAGAGAGGGCTAGGGGAAGCTGGGCTCATCCCATGGAAGGAAAAAATGCCCGAACTTCTGTTTCGACTTTAGTCCAACTACAGCTTGAATCACATTTATTGCTTTGTGTACAGCAGACAGGAATCGGAGGTCACAAGTGTTCACACAGTATGCGTCTACAGAGCATACTGTACAGAGCAAAGTCTACAGAGCAAACTCCTGCCTCTTGCCACCTCCATTTGCAACGTTCTCCTCCCCAACAAACTAACTTGTCACTGCGATATAAGACAACAATGTCAGCATACGCAAGGTATGCTGCTAAAGTGTTGAAGGGCCAGGGAGACAGTTTGCAGCACTCAATCTAAATATAAAATGCAGAGCTCAGGAGAACCCAGAAAGACCCAAGAGCTGATCATGCTGTGCAGACAAGATTTACAGGTACATCCTACAGCAGCCGTCCTCAAGCTGGTGTCCTCCGGATGCCTTGCACTACAGCTCCTAGAAGGTGGAACTATAGCCCAACACATCTGGAGGGCATCTGGTTGAGGAAGACTGATCTAGACAGCACCCCAAAATGATCCCTGGTACTATTTCTTATTTGTGATATTTGTAATTCATTATAAAATAACCCCTAAGGAGGGTACAAATTGGAAAGCACAATAAAAAGATAGCATGGACCAAAAACAAAACAAACGGGGGCGAAGAATAGCAGACAGGTGAGTAAGATTTGACATATGCAGCAAAGAAAAGCAGTCAAAACCCCTGGCTGAACAAACAGGTCTGGAGTCAGCACTGATTCTTGCAGGACTCAGTGCTAGGCACATACGAGGAGAAGGGAGCTCCATGGCCGGGATGCCTCCTGAGAATGCCCTCTCTAAGATTCACAAGTATCACACTCCAGGGAGACCTGGCATTGTCAAAGGGGTATCCCCATTTAACCTTAATACCCAGGCAGAGCCATTAAAAAAGGCGGCCTTTATCAGGCAGTCCTAAGCCACATACAGTGTCATTTAATGTGGCTCTGTAGTTTACTGGCAGCCAGTGCAATTCCTTCAGAAACTGTGACACATGCAATGGTTGGTTGTTAATACTGCCTCCCCCAAAAGATCAGGAACGTTGAATCTGAAAATACCTTTGCCTGTAAACTACTGGGGCATAATATTGAGCAACACTCCCCGCTCCCATCCTATGGTTTGTGCAAAAATGCACAGGCCTCACTTTGGTCCAAACCAGAACAGGACCAAGGGAGAAATTCACAGCACTCTCTATGTAGCATAAAGAGCAGTATTAGAAACCCCAAATACTGAGAAATAGCAGGTGCACAAGCCCTGCTGAGCTACAAACATCTTAATAATTTCGCCCTGCAAAGGGGAAAACTGGCACAGGAAGGAAATGCTTGAGCCTTCTGAGCAAGACACAGAAGTTTCAGCAAGAAAACATGACCAAAACTCTTTGAACAGGGAAGACAGGCCTTCCCCATGCCTTCCCCAAGACTGGTGTTCCCCATGCCCTCAGTCAGATCAGTGCAAAGTCTCCCTTCACACTAACCCCAACCAAAAGCAAAAGCAACTCACCAGCAATTGAGGTCAAAGATTCGCAGCTGCAGCCCAGGATCCTTCTCCATTACTTGAGAGGATAAGCCAGAAGAGCAGAGGGTCCAGACAGGCATCCGCTGGACTCAAAACATCATCAGGTTCTCAGCCTAGCTTTCCACAATGAAGGAAGTGTCGGATGCTGCCTCTCCCTGTGCCAGGAGAAAGCTAGATTATGACTGCACAATATTCACTGGGACCCGTCACCCTGGCAGTGGTGTAATCAAGGAAGAATAAAGCGGGTGGGGCAGCTGGTGGCACCAATCCAGCAAGACATGCGTGTTCCGATAAGGACATGAGATGCCTCTCGCAGCTAAATCTCTCCAGCAGCAGCATATGGAAGCGTCGGCAGGCAGAGAGGTGCAAAGCTAAGACCTTCAGCTTAGTGGGGTTATGTAGCATTAAAGGGACATTCTCAGGTCAAGCAAGGCACATCTTTTGCATTTTTCAATACCACAGGAGTAATAAAGCTGCTGCCGCTGCCGCCACTGAGCACCTTAGCATCATCCATCAGGAATGAGCATAAAGTCAGCTACACCCCTGAAAGACAAAAATGCTCGTGGCTCATGCCTCTGTTGTTGTAAGCATCACACATCTGACCTTCACTGTTTTTAAAAGGCCATTTAAAATGGCTCCAACCAGAGACTTTTTCTTTCAACACGGTTCATGTTGTTCCCAGGTAGGTTCTAGGGCACTTTGCACAAAGCCATCCCAAATCACGCAGTATTTCACAACCATGAATAGTTTTCACTGTCCTTGGTTATTTTACTGGACAGAGATCAGAAGTCCCTTAGCATGAACTACTCAAGTATTCAGCAGGAGTGACCTGTAAGGCAGGTTGACTGCTCTCCAAACTCTAAAGTGTAACTGTTCATATTGTAGCCAAAGAGATGAGTGTGGGAAGCCTGCAAGGGCAGGTTATTAGGGGAACGGGGTCCTCCTGCCCATGTTCCACAGCAATGTGCCCGAGAAGCACATACTGGCTCTGACCTGGCAGGTAATACAGAGGCCCCCAATGAGTAACGATTGATAGCCCTAAAGCAAAGCAAATGCAACCTTGGAGAAGGGGCTCAGGGGGTGCTGAGGGTAGGGAGGGGAAGAAATTGGTGCAGTACCAATATGAGGCATCCTGGCAGCACCTCAGCCCCCTTCCCACCTCCTCCTAAGTGCTTTGTAGGGCAGGACAAGCTTTGCAGAATGGGAGACAAGCCTCACACAGTGGATGTCCTTAATCTTCTTAGTTCAGAGAGCTCCGGGCATCCTGGTGGGAATGCACTCCTTCAACAAATTGACCTGTCCTCTTTTTAAAGACTTCCAAGGTGGCAGCTGCCAATAAAACTTGTGACAGCACATTCCATAGTCTGACACTGCACTATGTGGGGAATTGCTTCCTTTTATCTATCCTGAAATCCCCACCATTCAGCTTGGTTGGATAGTCCTGGTTTCTGGTGCTGTGAGAGATGGAGAGAAAAATATCTCCCTATCCACTTTCTCCACACCATGCATAATTTTTTACACCTCCGTCATGGTACTGCCACCAAATGTGGCACTTCAATGGCCATGTGTAACTTCAGAACATTTAGAGACAGGTTAGGATGTACTAATCCCAATACAGATTCTTACGGTAGCTGATTGTTTATATTCCTCCATGGTGAGAACTGACCATTTATTCCATTCTGCTTCCTGTTCTTTAAACGGTTCCCTTTCCACCACTCAGTTCCTAGTACTTTCAAGTCTGCTCCTCAAACAATTCCCTCCCATCCTCTATTTCTAACTATTTTCTGAAAATTTCCCTACCAGGTATCCTTAGTAATCCAAGGAAGCAGACACTGTATGAACTTTAAAACAACACAGGCTCAGAAGAAAATGGCAGCTAAATATTGAGAAATCAATAAGTGTTCATTTCCGGCTTACCAAAAACAGAGGCTGAGCTGATAGTAGACCTGCACCTAATTCATTTGCTGTGACCTGACTTCTTCCTCTGAAAATCCCACGCAAACCTGAACCTTCAAAATACCCCTTTCCAGTTTCTGGACAAGCATTGCTTTCATTGCTAGATAGTGAGCTGACCAGCCACCGAATCCTCTTTTCTCAGAAGTGTGTATACATAGTCTGTATGCACACCAGCCCAGTTTGAGTGGCAAATGTTTCAAATTAGAAGTTTCTGTGCTAAGAACCAGTTCTGACGTAGGACAACCTGTGCTTCCTCGACACCCCCTTAAGAAATGAGTAACTTAACTAGAGAACACAGTTCCGCACACCAAGTTAAATGCTCTTATATCAAAAGTTATAGTTCCTTTGAGCAGATTATAAACACATCCCCAAGCACTGCTGTTTAACTTACATGCAACACTCAAGCAGACCAGTCCCTATACAAAAGGACATATGGACACAAACTTAACATCAGAAGTGGCAATATTTAAAAAACAGGAGCAGAACCCTTCAGCCTCCAAGGACACATGTTGCAGATCAGAGCAAAAAGATCTCAGCTCCAAGTATATCCTTATGGGATCTGAGCTAGCAGTGCCTGATCAAGAAAGGGCTCTTGGGGTAGTGGTGGACAGCTTGATAAAAATGTCAACCCAGCACACAGCTACTGTGAAAAAACTAAATTGGGCATAATTGGGAAAGGAAATGAAAATAAAACTGTGAAGATCATACAACCCTTAAATATTTGGTGTGACTGTACTTGTACAGTGGTCACTATACCTGGAAAAGGACACTGTTGAATTGGAAAATGTTCAAAGAAGGGCAGCTAAAGCAGTCAAGAGGTTGGAGCAACTCCTCTGTGAGGAATCCTTAAAACATCTGGGATTGTTTAGCTTAGAAAAAGGCAAGCATGATAGAGGAGTTTAGAATTATGCATGGTATGCAGAAAGTGGAGATAGGGAGATGGTTTTCTTCCTTTCCCACAGTACTAGAACCTGAGGTCACCACAGGGATGTGGCGGTCAGTGCTAGACTGGAGCTGTGCAATACCTGGGTTCTAAACTCCACTCTGCCATGAAGCTCACGGAGTGATCTTGGGTCAGTTGCTCACTCTCAGCCTAACCTTATTGTTGTTGTGAGGATAAAATGGAGGAGGGCTATGCGAGCCATCTTGGTTTCTTCACAAGAGGAAAAAAGGCAGGAAACAAATGCAACGTAATAATAATTTTTCCCCTTATAATACTAGATCCTAGGGTCTTCCCATGAAGCTGACTGATGGGAGAGTCAAAACAGATCAAAGGAAGTATATCTTCACACAGCACATATTTAAATTGTGGAATTCATTGCCACAGGAAGAAATGATGGACACCAATTTGGATGGCTTTAAAAGGGGACTGCACAAACTCATGGAGGAGAAGGCTTCCAATGGCTACTGTCTTTGCTGGCTATGAGCTATCTCCATTATCAGAGGCAGTATACCTGGGTACGCCAGTTGCTGAGGAGCTTGGATAGGTAGAACTCTTGTACTTATCCTGCTTGAGGGATCCTGTGGGCAGGTGGTCTGGCACTGCGTGAATGGAAAGCTGGACTAGATGAACCATTGTCCTGATCCAGGATGGCTCCTACAAGGTTCTTGCAGTGTCAATTAAACTGGCCATTCTGGAGCAAAGGAATTTCAAGGCAATGTGAAACAATTGAGGTCGAACTTGATCTCATGATACTTGAACAAGAACAGGAGTGGGCATGTTTGTTTGGTTTGGTTTGGTTTTAAATCATACTATAAGTGACAGTCTGTTCACCAATGTAAAAATTGCTCTGTGATCATCCAACATTGTTTAGTGAATAGTCACAGTTAATAATGTAACAATCACTTTGCATTTCATTTCCTTCTGATCTCACTCTTTACAGCCTCCTCCCTCAACCAGTTTTAACAGCTTAGAAATGTACATTTATCATTTATTACACTGATATTCTACCTTTTATTCTTTTGCAAGGAGCCCATATTGCTTTAATATGATCCTCCTCCTCTTCCTATTATCCTCACAACAACCCTGTGAAGTAGGTTGGGCTGAGAGTTGCTGACTGGCCCGAAGACACCCAGGGAGCTTCATGGCTGAGTGGAGGGCTACCACCCTGGTCTCCAGGGTCCTAGCTCAGCACTCTAACCTATCTTTTCTTTCGGGGGGAAAAAAATCCTAAAGCCACTAAACCGTAGTAAAAAAAGATTAGAATAGGTGAGGGAAAGCGGAAGTTACAGTAAATCATCCTATAAAATAAGACTGCTCCAAATCAATTCCCCTTAATATTTTCTTTCCCCGCACGCTGCTTTTCATCACAGAGATTTCAAGAGATCAATCATCTAACATGGGTCCAGGATTATGTCCCATGGGGAGGGACCATAATTAAACTTGTCTTCCGGGCTTCGATCCCAGTCGATCCGAAAAGACGCTGCGGCACGCCAAGCACTCCACTTTAGCAAGTATCTATCGATCCACTCTTTTCAAATCGCCTCTCCCTGCTTGCAGGAAGAGGCGCGGAAGCAGCGCGCCGGGTCGTGCAGGGCGATTCTAAGGCAAACTATTACTCAACATGGCAGGAACAAAGAAGCACACAATTTTCCGAGGCGATTATCCCATAAAATGCACTCCGAAGAGGTCCCGCATACCTGGCAGGAGACGGTGCAGCGCACGGGGCGGCCCGATGCTCGCTCTCTTTGTTTCAAGGTTTGCGCCCAGATCGCCGCGCCGGCAACGGGAGTTCAGAGTCAAGGAGCGCGCGGTTGCATCGCGGGGGCTGCAGGCCTTCGCTGTCGCAACAGCCCGAGTCTCAGCCCTTCTCCTTTCTTCCGTAGAACTACAAGTTCCAGGCGGTGGCGCTCTAGACTCACCAAGCCGGGGGCGTGGGGGAAGCGCAACGTCCACGCTCGGAAAGGGGAGGAGATCATGAAAAATAAACTACAAGTACCGGAGGGCTTTGCGACAGGCAGTGACACCTTCCCTACCTTTCCTTTCCTGCTGTTGTTTTAAGTGATAGTTCTGTTTTGGGAGCTAAGAATTTTGTAGCACCGTAAAGACCAACGCATTTATTTTGGCCTTTCTGGAACACGGTCCGCTTACGTGATACACGAAGTTGGCTGATCTAGATGCGCTTGATGGGAGCGGTGGGAGGGAGGTGTGAATATGTGAACTGTAAGAGTATGGAAATGCAAAAGGCACGGGCAGGGCTAGGTGCATTTCACAAAACATGGTTGGGTGATGAACACAGACGTCATTGCAATGGTGAGCCGATTCACATGATTGGTGATGGAACAAAAAAACTCCCTTTGCCTTCACACAAGATATAGAACTAAATGCTATCTAATCTGTTGAATTGAGATGTTCCTTTCCCCCTTTCCAGCAACAGCAAGGCCTACCCTCTTAATAGCAGTATGGCTGATACTGCCTTGAAGAAGAAATCAGCATAGGTACAGCAAAGATATTCTTTATAAGATCTGGCCTTGACAGGCTCTTAACAACCACATGAGTTCATCTGTCACCTCCACAACTATCAACACTGGAAAATATAAGAACATAAGAAAAGTCATGCTGAATCAGACCAGTGGTCCATCCAGTCCAGCACTGAGTGTTAAACTAGCTGCTCACAGGATCCCTTAAGTAGGATAAGTATAACAGCTCCCACCAGCAGAGACTCTCCAGCAACTTCATTGTTCAGGCATACTGCTTCTGGTATTGGAGGCGGGACAGAGCCATCAAGACTATCAGCCATCTAGACGCCACTGATAGCCTTATCCTCCATGCATTTGCCCAGTCATCCAAACTGGTGGCCATCGCCACTTCCTGTGGCAGTGAATTCCATTGTTTAACTATGTGCTGCGTGAAGAAGTACTTCTTTTGACCTATCCTGAATCTCCCACCAGTCAGATAGGATGACCCCAGGCTCTAGTATTACGGAAGAGGAAGAAATATGTCGCCACTTTCTGGACATCATGCATAATTTTAAACACCTCTATCATGACTTCCCTTGCTTGCTTTTTAATTTTTTATTGATAAACAACCCCAGCAGTTGTAACTATTCTTCATGGGGGAATTGTTCTAACCTCTGATCATTTTGGTTCCCCTTCTCTGCACTTTTTCCGACTCTGTAATGTCCCTTTTCAGGCTACAAACTCCTTAATGCAGAAGGTCAGTCAGGCTTCCTCTCTGCTGTTCATGACCAGTGGCCAAGCATGTCTTAAATCCAGACAGACTTGCCATGTAAACTGGCCTGTTGCTGAAGGGGGTTCTGTTGTGGTGGGTGTTCTTTTAATTGTGCTTTATTTGATTTTATGATTTACTTTTTGTGTTTTCATCTTGCTCCCGTTAATAGCTGCCTTGAGTAGAAGCCTAGATAAAATTAACATAACTGTAATCTGGAAGAATACGCCTCCTATTCTCTGCACCAGGCATGCTATTGACCAACAGCATGTCCATTTTGTCTGCGTTTACTCTCAGCTTGTTCACTCTCATGCAACCCATTATTGAACTCGGGCGACATTCAGCTCCTTGTGATATTTTTTAATCTCATACAAATCTTGTATGCAATTACCAATCTACTAACCTGACAATCTACTTACCCCCTAAAGGTGTTTCTTCATGGTCTTTCCTCTACAGACTTTCCCCTTTCAGCTCCTGGGCACTCTTGCCAGTTGCTGAAATTTCTGAAGGAGGTCTCTGCATATCTGAAATGTTAGATTCCACTAGGCAGGTGAAACTGGCTTTTCTACTCCCACTTTTCCTCTAATATCTTGGAGCGTGTGCAAACATTCATGTGAAATAAACTCAACCACTTTTTCATTATAATTAAAAAGGTAGTTGCTTGCTTCTATCATATGAGGGGAAAAGCAAAACACATAGCTTTTTGGTGAAGTTTTATACTGGAGTGGTGATCATTGCTTGGGCTTGCCATCAGCAAAGGAAGCCCACTTGCAGTTAAATTTTCCTGTGTTACAACCTGGATTTAATTGGCAATTGTTATCACTTGATGTACACAAAATACTCAGCACTGTAAAGGTGCACAATGTTTCTATTGTGGCACAAAAGTTAAATAAATGAAAATAAACTGGCACTTGTTGGTTGCATAACTATTCACTTTCCTGAATATTTGGTAGAAACACTTTTGGCAGCATTTGCAGCTGCAAGGCTTCCTGGATAAGCCTGTTTGTGTATCTGGATCTTGCTGTGCTTGCCCATTCTACCTCACAAAACCATTCCAGCTCTGACAGGTCAGATGAGGACCTTTGGTGAATGCAACTTTCAAGTCCTGCAGCAGATTCTCCATCAAATTGAGGCCTGGGCTTTGACTGCCATTCTAAGACATTAGGTTCTTGCCATTCTAGGGTTACTTTGGCTGTGTGTTTGGGGCTATTGTCTTGCTGGAAGGTGAACTTGTGACCCCATCACAGCTCACTGGCAGACCACTTTACCTCAAGAATTGCCCCGTGTTTGGTTCCATCTAGCTTTTCCTCAGTCTTGACCAGTTCCCGTTTCCCTGCTGAGGAAAAGCACCAGTGATGGTGCCACCACCAGGTTTCACCCTGGGAATGGAGTTGAGGGCAATGAGTGTGGTTGGCTTTGTGTGAACACTCTGGGGCTGCTTGCATGACACAAGAGCCCATCATGGGTTATTTGACCCACACCAAGGCTGCAGTGTGTGTAGGGTGAGTAAAGCTGCCATTCTGAACATGAAAATCCTGTTTGGGGGACTGGCAAGCCTGGCAAGTATGTCATGTGAGTCATACAATTCCCACATAACACGGTCTGTTTTAGGGTAATGTGAAGGTTGCTTTAAACCACCACAGCCCATTCTCACTGGGGTCACATGACACAACAACCCCTGACCCCCCCGGGGGGGGGTTCATGTGGAATTAAATAACCCATACATAAATAACTTCTGTGTTAGATATAGGATTGTTAGCATAAGATTATTTTTACCTTAAAAGGAGGCCTATAAATATTTAAATAAATATTTTATCAGTGTTGTATAAATTGATTTTTACATTTCATAAAGATTTCAAATAGTAACATTTTATATTCAGTATACTTTGTGCTAACAAGTGTTATGTAAATTTATGCCTATTCTTTTATGTACACAATTTGCATAATATTTGATTCGGGAAGGAGATAAAGGCAAGTGGGATATATAAAAGAGAATGATAAAAGTGGACCGGACTACACAAAAAACCTTTTGCCATGATACATTTGCAAGTCTTTAAGGCATCACAAGACTCCTGTTGTGTTTGTTGCATCAGCCCAATAGTTACTCCTGGAATGAATGCCAGTGAATCTAACTGGGAGTATTCGCCTTCTCCAGTTTTAAGCTTTTTTAAAGGTACATTTTTTCATGTAACAAGCACCTCAGAACTTTTAACATTGTAAGCTGTGTTAGAGGCGCAGAAAATTTCTGGATGATAACAGAGGGTGTGCCAGCCAGCCCTTGCTGTGTTAGTTTCTTCTGCAAAATTTATTTTGTTAGAAGTCAATTCTGGAAAGGTACAGTTGGAGTAAGGATATTGAGATTGCTTCCCTATCTGCATGTGGAGCCAGTTTTGAGAGCAGTGAAGGTGTTACTGGTCATATATTCGTAAGTATTAGATGTGTTTGTTTTTAAAGCAGAGATTTTGAGGAACTTGGTACAATGCCAATGCTCCACTTAAACAGTACGACTGCAAACACTTGGAATAGCAAGAGATAGTATGGACAGAGGGTTGCATCCAGACAGTCACACAGCGTAGACTGCATCTAAATCAACAGGTTGTAAGTTAAAAGCGGCTAACTTCAGTTCCATCAATGTTAATGGGTCCACTCCAAGGATAATTATGTGTGGATCCAACCCACAGAGTTCAAACTGCAGCTTTTTTACTGGTGATGAACAAACGAGAAAATAAAAGTCTCATCATGAAAAGGAGTTTGAGCCAACCCATGAACAAATAAGTTTAATAGTTTTCAGCAGACCATAAGCTTTCTAGAAGCTCCATTGTCTCATCTATTTGAAGATGGACATACAGTAAACACAACAATATATGGTACAACCCATCACAGCTGGATTAAAAAAATACACAAAATATAATACATAAAAATGGTTTTACACTGTGGACTGACAGAGCTCTAAAAAAAGGTGACCATAACCCTGGTAAGCTTTACAAAGTCTTTAAAAAAATAAAACAGTACTTCATGTGAAATTCATAAATACATAGGATGTGGGGGAAGTTGGTTACTGAGTTTTAGGGTACCTGCATTATGTCCAACTAAGAGAAATTTACAAAGCCACTATTTTCTTGGCCTTGCAGACATTCTCTGAGGAACACCAAATGGGTAGTGGTTTGTGTGTATAGTGTGCCCACTAACTTGAGGCCAGAGGGTACAGGGGACTCTGCGACAGGAAGGCTAGGGATGTTATCTAACTACATTGTTGCACAGAAATTAAGAATAGTGTGGCATGGTAAAATTGGGAAAGAAAGGATGAGAAATGCAAAATAGTCCAGTTTAAGGGGAAGTTTATTCCAAAGGCTCTAGCTGGGTTGAAGTTTGTGGATAAAATACAAGAAACAGTTTTTATATAAAGAAATTTGGAGATAGGCAAGACTAAGGCCCTGTTCCACTTTCCCCATGTGTGTACTGAAGTCTGTCCCAGGAGTGTGTATCTATTTATCTATCTATACATGTGTTTGCGTGTGTGTGTGTGCATGTCTTCTCTTAAAAATACCTTTTTAAAAGCAGAAAATGGATATTTTATCCTATATGGGCTAAGGAGAACAGGGAAAGTTTTAACCTTAATTCCCAGAGGTTTTGCTCTGGGAATGAAAATAAACATGCTACATATAAGTTTGCCAGTGCTTCTCTCCTTGCAGATGCAGAGAGATTCTGGCTGTAATATGGAATTCAACATCCCTGCCCCCTTTAACTATCCCTCCTCCCATTCTAGTTACAATAGCTGTGATTTGATTCCAAGGATGCTGTACCTCTCCCCCAGTGCTCAGGGGTCTCAAAACGTACCTGACTTCAAATCTGGCTTTTACTGGGTAGCCAGTTGTTCCTAAAAGCAATGCTCAGAAGAGAAGGTTGTGGCACTACAGAGACCAGTTTGCCCAAAGCCTCACATACAATCATGCATGGGGCATCGGCTTTGCCAAGAAGGACAGTGCAATAGGATCCATGTGCTGGGAGGCAAAGAGCAGTTGATGGCCATCTGAATTCAAGCTTACCCCTTATTTCCTGCAGCTTCCAGCACCTGTTGCTCATCCCGCAAGGGTGCAACATCATGTTGCAAAATAAGTTGGAATAAATTCCTGAGCAACTTGCGACTTATGTGTACTAACAATCCAGGCTTCATGTACCGTTCCCATTAGCATTACCACCTCAGGGGTCTTGCATTACACAGAGAGGAGTGTTCATTTTAAAATCTAATGGCGTTTTCCAGAAGTCCTTGGGTGGCATCAATTAAAAACACTTCACAGGAAAAGCATTCTTACATTAATTAAAAACATCCTTCAAAAAGTTGGGAAACTACTCTGTCAGTTGTTCTAATGGTGTCACCTCATAGCTGCATGTTGCACTGAAACAATAGTCCAAAGGCTCCCAAGAACATTTTTAGTCTACTGATTGAAGTCTGAGCTAGCCCATGCTTTGACCATCCAGGTAGTCAGAACATGGGCGTTAAGTCAACAATGCAGTGGTGATACAGGCCAAAACAGAAGATGAGGCCCAAGTCAGTTATGAAAAGGAGAAAGAGAGAAGAAAAGTCTCCATGACATCACCTTCTACCTTTTAAGACAGACAGTGGCAGCAAAGAAAAGGCCAAAAAAAGAGAGCAGCCCTTAAAAAAAAGTGAAGACAAAACATTGAAAAGGAGGATCTCTAGGTTTTAGCTTGAATGTTTAGTTCCAGGACATGAGGCAAATGTTCTGTTTCTTCACGGTCACAATCCATCTGTTGTTAACGTGTTAACAGGCTTCCCTTTTCGAACTATCCCTAACTCTGTAGTTCCCCTCCTCGTCTCTTTGGGGACCCCATCTCATTAACGCTATGGAAGTGATCCTGGTGCTGAGCTATCTTCCACAGCACTTTAGAACATGTACCATCAAAGGAAGGCCAATAGCCAAGAAAGAGAATTGGTAGCAGCAGAATCTGGTCTGTGCATTCCCATTTTTCCTAGAAATGGCAACTTCACATATCCCTCCCCAAGCAATAGGGTTTGTTTGTTTGTTTGTTTTTGCATAGTATTGTACTTTTTCCCAAGCACATATTCTCAGGCTCTGCCATATGAAGGACGGCACATAGTGAGGATTAGTTTGATTGGGCTGATTCAGAGTGTATCAGACTAAAGAAAGGAAGAAGCAAGGAGAATGTTTAAATGCAAACCAATCAGTTAAAAAAGCAAACATCATATAGCACAGGAAAACATTGAAGGACAAGATAGGAGAAACTCAATGGTAGAAGGCACAACCTTTACATTCTGTTATTTATTATTATTATTATTAAAACTAAAAGCTAGCATTTAGATGAAGTATAGCTGAATCCTATGGGCCTGAGCCCCGGAGGTGCCATGGATATTGAAGATACTGAGATCTTGATACTATTCATGTAACAGGATTCCTAAAAGCACCAATTTAAATTATATGCCCACTATGATAGACTCCAGGGTTAAGGTTGATGGGCTCATGTACACTTAAACCCCACACAGAAACTTTCCTCAGCATTTTCAACAGCAAACAGTATAGCTTTCAAATGACAAGGGATTCTTTATAACAAAGTTGTACCATGTTACAACTTTCAGCATCTCCCTGTGTTTGGGCTGCCAGATTACTAAATTTTCATGTTGGTCCTAGCAACCTCCACAAGGATATGCTAGGTAGGAAGCACACGATACAGGGAAAATACCTGCATTCAGATATTTAGATCCTGGCCTTTCTTGGGGGACTGCCACAGAAAAACAGAAGATAATTTAATACCTTACCGGAACAATGCCCAGACAGCAAGAACTTTGGTCTAAGCTTTTCCCATACTGTTTTTGACATTGCAAATGTTTAAAAAGCGCCTTTGAGAGCTGGTTAAAATCCCATAGAGGTTTAGAAAATCTTCCAGGTTGCACATCTTAGCCAGCCAAAATATATTTCATAGCCCACTGCCAGCCTGCTAAACTGCAGACTGCATCTTTCATTCTTCCAGTTAAGCCCTCACCCCTTCCTCTTAATACATACTCTAACCTTTTAACATCCCATGAACAGAAACCAGTAAGATGCTCCTTTTCTTGTTGGGATTCTCTCTCTCACTCACTCACCCACATATGCATACACACACACAACCCTGTCGCCTTACTCCTGCCTACTATCAAAACACTTGGGGACATGGATGCCACATTGCCACATTTCTGCCATAAACACCACAAAGTGCCCTTCCACCAACACCATAGCCTGGGGGAATGCAGTAGATCCTGCAACAGAAAATGCCCATGATATTGTGGGAACAAAATCACTTCCTTGTAATCAACCAATGGGTTATGTGCCACAACATGCTGCAATCTGCCAATTCCCTGCGTTGGCTCTGCACACACACTGTGGCGAGAGACAAAAGAAAACTCTTCATCCTTTTTGTCAGTGTCTGAAACAGAGTGAGATCATTGAGAAGGCAGCGTTTGATTTCCCATCTTCAGCAGCCCTCATATAACAGTTCTTTTCTTCTTCTTTTTTCTTTTGTAGATGAAAGCAGCTAGGTAAAGCTGGTTTGAGGACAAAATCCAGATCTTGGCATGAAAAACATGGGCATGTTCAGATATTATGAAGAGGTCGGCAGTCTCAGTTCACCAGAGGTTGTTCTAGTGCTCTGTGCTGGGAAAGCCATGAAGAAGTACAAGGCCTTAGAACCAACATCTCCCGAAATACTCAGCACCTAGCTCACAGGACCAGTCCTCCCTGTTGCCTCCAGTAAGAATTCTCCTTCCTCTTTATGCTTTCCTGTAATGCTTTTTCTGTTTGTTTTTGTAAAAAAATTGTTCCTAAGTAGAAAACATCTGTGATTGTGAAACAGTCATTTTTGGCATCGCTTTTTTTTGTTCTTTTTCAAAAGACTTGCGTCAAGGCATCCTATACGGGTGGCTTTTCTGAAGAGACTTCTCTCCTCCCTCTTTCTTAAATTGCCAGGTCTCCCTGGGAGAGCCTCTAGTCTTTGACCAACTTGTACACGTGATGCTGAGCTCCATGCTCACTGGTAGATACCTCAAAAACAAAAGCTATGCAGAGCAAGGTTTCCTGGGTATCTCTGTTTGTAACAACCTGAGATAAATGGAAAAAACACAGTGAAATTAGGGAAAAGATAATGGAAATGTCAGATATTGAGTCCAAAGAAACAGTTAAGCTCATTTGGTCTTATTGTTGAATGTAACAGACCACAGAAATTTACCCAGCCACTGCTATATCAAATCCACCTGTTTTAGATCAAGTTACAGAAAGCATCTCCTTTTAGATGCATAGTTTTTAGTACTACCAGTCAGAAAATGTTGTGCAGCTATCCTGCCTTTTTTTCTTTTGTGGGAAGAAAAAGATTGAAGAATCAGTAGGACAATATCAGGATGGAAGATAATGTTGTCTGGTTACCCTAAAAAAGGCAGGGCAATTCTGCATTAGCAGCGTCATCTGGATATATCCTCAGTCATAAGTTACAAGCTACATGTGAAAACAAATCCACTAAGGAATAAGGAAGGTGGTTGTTAGCAACATTTATACCTGCTTTATACACGTGTGCTACATTTTTGTACTTGGGTACAGGAAGTAGAGTACAATATACATGCATACTTCATCAACTGTGCAGAATGCACACATGTATAAACCACCATTTTCTCTCCTACTTTCTCAGCTGCTATGAATAAAAACAGAAATTTGTACACATAACATAAAATAGTAACTAACATAATATTTGTACCCAAAAATACAACATGAGAAACTGCTCACACTTTCAATATTCATGTATGGTTATCATTTCTATCCCAATTTTTTTTAGTATCACAATCTAGTCACTGATTTTCATTATTTACTTGCTGGATTAAAACTCTCAAACTGTAAGTCACCATTTTAAATAGAGGGGTGATTTACAGATGACTATTTGCCAAATGGTAACTTATTGCGCTACACACACATGGCCTGCCAAGTGGTGAGTAAAATCTTACCACATTTATGCAGCTGACAGGAGCCCAGGAACTTGTAACATCCTTAAGTTCTGGGACAGACGCCCTTCTCCAGGAGCCCTCCCTGAAGAAGATTAGGAGGGTGACTACCCAGAGGAGGGCCTTCTCTGTGGTGGCGCCCCGATTATGGAATATGCTCCCCAGAGAGGTTCGCATGGCACCATCACTTTATTCTTTTCAGTGCCAGGCCAAAACCTTTTTGTTTTCCCAATGTTTTAAGACTTGACTGTTTTATTTGGGGTTTTATTATTAGCTAAATTTTAGGAGGCTGTGTTTTAATTTTTTTTTTTTTACATTTAGTATTATTAAACCATCCTGAGACTTCGGTAATGGGACTGTCTACAACAGTTTTAAATAAATAAATACATAAATATGCTCAACAATACAGATTACTAGTTCACCACATAGTTATATACCCACACCACTTGGGCAAATGGCCATCTGCTTGCACTCTATGAAAGAGTCAGGGAAAGAGGTGGAAGGTCTTCCATTCAACATGATGTCAATGGTTCGACCTCAACAAATCATTTCCCACTTGTAGGGCACATGAGGTCCAGGCTGCACTGCAAGCAGGAGGGGGGAAGAGGCCTTGCATGTGCTTGCACAGAGGCCCTCACTGAGGGCAGAAGGTTGCCTCCAAGGCCAAAGACAGCTGCCAATGGCTGTGCTGCACTTCCCCCAGTTGACGGAAAGGGGTAGCAACAAGGCACTCCAACTTATATGGCTGCACACACATCACCACAACCATTTCAACTGCCTCAGTGTTAAGACGTGCACTGCCTTCCACAACCCCAAGGCTCATTCCCAGTTCCGGTGCATATGAAACAGAATAAAAACATATTTTGAGGCCAAAGGAAAGGGAAAAATAAGGGCTGCAGTTTTGCCCCTATTTACTTGAAATAAGGCATTGCATAGATGCAGGACTGCACTTTACATGAGGAGACACGCAGGGTAAACTACAAGAGCTTGCTCTTGACAAAACACCCCTGGCCCTATGCTCAGAACAAAATTCTTCCCCTGTGAAACCCCTGCATAAGGTGTCACTTTCTTGGTAAAAAAGAAAGAAGTAATAACTGCAGCACTGAAAGGAAGAGGAAAAAACAGACAGGAGTTGTTGTCATTGATACAGATACTGTTGTCACCTTTGACTCAGATCTTCTTCCTAACACTAACCGCACAATTTCTTAATTTGTACAGTTACTGCAGCTTAAACAAGCCACAGCGGCTTGTGTAACCTGCAGCGCTCTACACTTCTAGAGCGCTTGGGTAGTGCAGTGGTTGAAGAATGTGAGCCTAGGACTCAGAAGACCTAGGTCCAGTTGCTAAGTCATGAAGCTCACTGAATGACTTTGGGCCACTCACTGACTCTCTGCCTAGTCTACATCACAGGGTTGTTGTGAGGATAAAACAGGATCATGTATGCTTCTTGGAGGAAATATAGGACATAACTACTTTATTAAAGACTAGGCACAGATGACAGTCATAGGTTCTAAAGTAGTGGGTGACAATTCAAGACAGAAGAAAAAGGCAGGAGGTTTTTTTACCTGCAAGATGGTGAAATTCTCCAGGACACTGTTCATCATGTATTTTTCTGGGAGGTGTTTCAGTTTATGGATGAAGTTGATCATATACTCACACATGGGGGACCTATGGATTCGGTACACACACCTTCCATTTTCCATTCGGGCAAATTCAGTCTGCAGGAAAATGCAAAGAGAGTAGGCCTTAAGAACCCCATATAGAGCTGTCAATGGGATTTGTACAGCATTGAGGATGTAAGAGTATGAGAGGTCAAATGATTTCTTGTATTTAGGATGACATGTAAATTGGGCCTGGGAAAACTGGAGAGATGAAGCACTTGGAGGAAGGTGGCCCATTCCACTAAGGCAAAAAAAGCAATACAGACTGGCCTGTTATTAAATAGCTGACCAACACTGATTACAAAGCATTCATATACTTCTTGTAATTAAAATCTTGAAGTCAGGGGGAGTAGAGAGAGAAAGCACATTTCACAAGTCCCATGAAAAGAGGTCACCTCTACCAGGTGCCTCCTTCCTCAACTGTCACCACCCGCAGCCTTTCCAGCAGGCAAGGGAAGGAAGAGCACAGAAGAAGCGGGGCTATTCCACCAGGTCTGTTGAAAGTTCCCTCCCCATTCCTTCCTCCAAAGTCTTCTAGGGCTGTCAAAGAATCACACCCTCCAATCCCACATTACCTATTTTGCTGTTCACCTTCTCAGTAACATCTCCCTCCTAGCAGTTCCACAATTCTGGCAAACCCAGGACTCACCTCCACCTTCTCCACTACTTGCTTCCCAAAAGAGCACACCTTAGTGGAGACTGTGATGGTCATGTTTTCTGAGCTGCTATACTGACTGCTGACGCCATAAAAAGCACCGGGACCATCCTGAATGGTGCTGTTCAGATCCGCCTAGAGCAAGGACAGGAAGGGGGTATTATTGGTCAGATAAGGAAAAGAAAGATTGATTGGTTTCTGCTTAAGACAAGCAAGTCTGACAGCGTTCTGGGATGTATTCACTGAGGACAAAGATGCCAACATGAGAAATATAAACATTATGATATGATCAATTACATATGCAGTTAACAATAATAAGCTGTTTTATAATCATTTATCTTCCCTACCACCCTTCAGGGCAAGTTGTAATTATGCCCATTTTGCAAATGGAGAATAGAGGCTCAGAATATATGACTTTCCAAGTCTCCTTTCTCAAGTCCATGACTCAGTCCAGCATTATTAACTGGAATGTACCAGTTCACTTTTTAATTAACCAACAGCTGAGAAAATGAGCTAAAGATGTTCAATGGGCAGTCCAGGCTGAAACAGAATTTCTCTTAGACTTACTATGAGGAAGCAACAAGCTATTATTCAGCTATAATGCCAAGCAGGTTAAAACCAGGCCAAATACAATGATACAAAACATTGAAGAATGTTATGTAAAACCAATACAATATACTATTTTGTTGTCTTGTGTGGATGTTCAGGTTCCTGTAAGAGCGATGGACACCTGAGGATCATGGTTTTGCTTGATAAGAAATTACTGAACTTTGCTCTTATTCTAAATGATGACCATGTGGTAACTTCAGAATAAGCAAAACAAACTTTGGTTATTCCTTAACATTTTCCATTCAGATTGCTTAGCACACACAAGTGAGTAAAACGACATCCATTACAAGATTGTGTGGTGCCGTGTTGGATGGCTCATGGCAGACAGCATCCACATTGGATGAAAAAGCAATGGTAACAAAAGACAGCACATTCTCTCTTGTTGAATTGTCCCATTATCTGGCAAAGAAAATGCTCCAGAACAGTTTTTCTGAGCCACTGTTCAGCTGCAACCTGTGTGGTTCTTACCCAAAATTTGACAAGGAAGAAGGAGTTCTGTGGTCCTCTCTCATAGAGCTCCTTCAGGCCCCCTTTCTTCTCAGGGAACTTGTCATAGATCTGGCGGATATCCACTGCCTCCAGCAGTGGGTCGCTGTATGAGGGATTTGTCTGTCCAATATGCACAAAGAGATGCTTGCTATACTGTAAGTGGGTAAAAAAAAAAAAAAAGATGTGCAAGCATGTAGGAGCAGTGGAATTATTCTGCATGATGAAAATCAGGTCATAACAAAGAGAATCAGATACTGCTGTTGATTCTACACTACAATTCAAGACTCAGCTAATCTCCACCATCCAGACAAAAAGACCCGTAGTAACTTCTGTATTGCACAAAGCAGTAAGGAGAGGCCAGGGCTCCAAGCGAAGGGCAGTGCTCATGTTTTAGGCACCAGGTATTGCACAGAGCTGATAAGCAGAAGATCAGACTTTATGTAAGTACCAAGATAGGATAGCAATCTGCAGGACCCATTCCTTAACAAGAGCAAGAGAATTCCATCACCTCCCCCACAGCTCAGCCCATGTGGGAAGCAGCACCAAACATTCCCCCTCACGAATTACCGTTTCTGGGTCACGCTGCACTTCCATGAATGCTGAATACTCAAGGAGCCTCAGCTTGGTAGAGGCAATGGTGCGGTCCTGCCAGACTGGCACAGCCGAGGCAGCAGGTGGAAGAGGAGCCAGGGACTCGTAGCCTAGAAGAAGAAGATGTTGTAACATTCTCAAGCAATGTAGCGGGAGCTTTCAGTTGCAGAGGCAACGAAAAACTGGTTAGGCTCCTGTACAGCACAGTTGCCCGTCTTTTCAAACAGTCAAGTACTATTTTCTTCATTATTGCCTAGATGATGATTACAACACAACCAGATTCCCTCAAATGACAGGAATTCAGGGTCTGAATCTTCACATTTTCAGTTCTGCAAAAGGTTCTGCGTTTTCTGTACATTTTGCAGAAAGCAAATGTGAAATGGATTAGATTATCCTGTACCTTAAAACAAGGCAGAGTGTAAATAAAAAGGTGGAGTTGACTAGAAGTCTCAAACTCAAGATTAATTAAGGGGTAAGCTGAAACAGACTATCCTTTCTAGGTAAGCCATGCCTGAAGCTCCTAGATAGTACACCAGTCCAAGAAGTCACCTGATTTTCTCACTGAGGTTTCTTTAAGCAGAGTATCTGAAAGATCACCAGACCAGACAGATAAGCTTCCCTAGAAATGGCATACTTTCCTGCTATCAGCAAGGTGTTCCACCCACACATCCCATCTCACTGATGAGAACTAGGGGATAAAACTAGGAGATCAAAGAACAGCCTTGAAGAATGCCATAAATGCACCCACGCAGTAGGGAAGTTTTGCTCAAATTCTCAGAACAAAAGGCAAAATATCCTCCTAGCAGACCAAATTTAAAAGACAGTTTTTCCATACTTTCATTTTAGTGCTGAAGTCTTCACTGCCTTCCAAGTAAGCATAATGTGAGCTTGGTTATGAGGACTGCGCAGCTAATGCTGCCGCTTTCCTCTAGCTGCTATGAAGAAAGGCTAGTGATAAACACAGCTCCATCTACTCAGAGAGCACATAGCTTACAGGAATTGGAGGCGCTTCTATGATGCACTGGAATCCTGCAAAATCCCATGCAGATACATCCCAGGTAATGTGAACACAGCAGCCATTCAGTCAAATTAAGTGAGCTGATGGGAGGCCCATGCCCAGATTGGCTAGATGGTTTTTTTAAGCTTAAATGTGGTTGTGGAGGGCATTGAGCAAGGGCAGGGAAGCAACACTTAATCCTCCCAGTGCATCATTTTTCCAATCTAAATTGCAACTTTAGATTGCAGGTCCTATAATCATTTGGGAGAAGGCAAGAATGCATATTTCTCTGCATGGACCAAAAAGATATTCAGTCTTTATGAATGAAGCAGAAGTCCACAATCCTGGTTGGACCAAGACTCAGAGGGGTCCTCAGCAACGACAGAAAACATCCTACGTTGTGCAGGGGAACGGATATTCTAAACTGATACTAGTGGTGGCAGGGGAGCCAACAAAAGTGTTGTTATTTTAAGAGAAAGGGCATCAGTTTGTTGGACAAATCAAGTGAGCCGAAACACTTACTGGCTAGTGATGGAGGCATGGGTGGCTGGATGGGGTAGGCTGGTTGTGCAAAAGGTTTAATGCTGCAAAGCAAAATGGCATTAAACAGGTTAGTCAGGAACTCATTTAATAAGCTAGCCTCTAAATTCACCCACATCCAAAATCGGTGAGAGGAGGAGGTCTCCTAAGGACAATGAATGTTGCAATCCTATGGCATCCAAAGGACCATAGGAGAGCTCAGATCAGTCATGGGTTGCCCACCCCCACCAACAAACCCCCGTGTATATCTTGACACATCTGCTCCTTCTTTGATTTTGAAGGAAGGAAAGGGGAGAGGACTGATGGCATGGCGTGGCCAGAGCAGGGGAGGTTCTAGATCCAACAGGGCTTGCTGGGCTGTAGCCTAGTCCCTCACTATGTTGCCAGGGTAGGGAAAGATTCAATCCAGCCTCTAAATTATTTTTCTCCCATTGCATGCAGAGGGAGAGAAATAGTAGCAAAAACAAAAACCCAGAGGGAGATCAGTGGATGACATTCAGTCCTCATTTCTGCTTTGCTGGCTCAGGAGGAGAGGCTGGCAGCCCAGCGACTCCTCCTGAGATGCCCCATCAACAGAATTGTACTGCCTGATAAATCTTGGGTAGATTCTCTTACACCTAGAGTCATAAAACCGCAGAGTGTTGCCCGCTCCCCTCATCCACCTTCCCTGTCATTTCAGAACCAGAAATCTGGAACATGAGCAGGAGGATACCATTATATTCATGTCCTGCTCGTGGGCTTTATTTATTTAGAATATTTGTACGCCGTCCTTTCGCAAAGCCTCAGGACAGCTTACATAAATAAGAAGAATAAAATAAAACATAATACAAATAAAATCTAGATCCACCCTGGCTGCAGATTAAAACCTATATAGCTAATGTTAAAAGTTATTAAAATATTGTTGAAATAAAAAGCTCTTAGCCTGGTGCCGAAAAACAAATAACGACGGCGCCAGGCGGACATCTCTGGGGAGCGTATTCCTAAGGGAATGCCTTCTTCCGTATTTGCCCTCCCGCCCCCTGAGATCGGCAGCAAAGACCCTCCTCTGGGAACCCTCTGTGAAAGACGTCAGGAGGCTAAGTACCCGGAGGAGGGCTTTCTCTGCGGTGGCGCCCTTGTCCAAGCACCTTGTCCACATCATCATGCTGCAATAACTGAAATTCATCCAATAATATTTGACCGGACAGAGTCATTGGCACCTCCCCTAGAGGATCTGAACCACTTGCGGAGTCCAGCTCATGATGAATCTGAGCGATTTTCTCCTTAAAGTGCCGGGCAAAATCATCACAGCGGGCCATCGAGGGTGATACGGGATCTTTCTTAGGGCCGGGATGTACCAGCCCATGTACCACTCGAAAGAGCTCTGCTGGACGGCACTGTGAGGAGGCAATGGAAGTGGAGAAGAATTTCTTCTTCGCTGCCCTCACCACCACAGCATAGGCTCGATAATGAGCTCGTAAGCATGCTCAGTCAGATTCATCTTGTGATTTCCTCCACCTACACTCTAGACGTCTCCCAACCCGCTTCATCGCCCATAGTTCAGGTGTATACCATGGGGATGAACAGGCTCTGCCGGACGGGAGAGGACGCTTAGGAGTGATCATGTCAATAGCCTTGGCCATTTCCCCATTCCACAGTTCAACCGGAGCATCAACAGGAGAGCCAGCTTTATTAACCGGAAACTTCCCCAAAGCCTTCAGGAATCCATCCGGATCAAGCCGGCTCCGAGGGCAGATGAACACAATAGGGTCCGCACCCTTACAGAGGGAAAGGCCGGCATCGAGCTCAAACCTCACGAGGAACTGATCTGACCATGACAGGGGTGTCAGACACAAGTTCCTCACATTCAGATCCCCCTCTTCCTGCCTCATTGATAAAACCAGGTCCAGCGTGTGTCCACATTCATGGGTTGAGCCTATGACATGTTGAGACAGCCCCATGGCTGTCATGGAGGCCATGAAGTCCTGAGCCGCCCCGGTCAGACCAGTCTCGGCATGGAGATTGAAGTCCCCCAGGACCAACATCCTGGGGGTCTTCAGCACCAGGTCCGAGACGATCTACGTCAGCTCAGGCAGGGAGTCTGATGGGCAGAAGGGTGCACGGTACACCAGCAGAATCCCCAGTCTGTCTCGGTCGCCCAATGCCAGGTAAAGGCACTCTAGACCCGATCTCAAGAGAACAGGAAGCCCCGCAAGGGAAATTGAAGCTTGATAGATTAAAGCGACCCCCGCCCTCCGGGCGTGGCTGGTGCTGGACCAGATACCCGGGCGGGCACAATTGAGAGAGGGACACATCCACCCCTGCCAGGTCTCTGTAATGCAAGCCAGGTCGGCCCCCTCATCCACAATTAAGTCGTGGATGAGGGATGTTTCGTTATGGACCAACCTGGCACTAAGCAACAGCACCTTCAGGCCCAAGGGGCGGGCTTCCTGTGGGCACCTGGTTAGCCACTGTGGGAACTGAATGCTGAACTAGGTCAGATCCAGCATGTTCCTAGGTAGGACAGTGTGCAGTTGAGTTGTTTGTTTGAAAGAACTGCCCCACCAGATGCATCTTGTATGCCATATCAAAAGCTTGCCACGTCTGAGAAGGGTGGGCCTGGAGGAGGTGCTCAAATTTAGGAACCCCTGGAGGGCCAGACTGGGATCCTGGTTCTGAAGTTCTGTATTCCTGGTTTACATGGAGGAATTTTCAAACAAATGGGTTCCTCCATGTGGGACCAGTGTTGGATCATTCCCCACATGTAATTATGGCTATGATTCTGCTTGAAACAGTCCTTATTTTAAATATGGCAGTTTAGAAATGCAGGCTGAAGTGGGCAGCTTGCTTCATTTGGCACCAGCTTCTGTGGAACAGTTCAGAAAATCAAAACAAGCTTTCTCCGAAATGGTAAGCCATGTAATTATGCAATCCAAAAATGTGCTCTTCAAAAGTCATGTTCAAGAGTAACAGGTTCCCGTACTCACTCCTGAGAAGGTCCAGACTGTCCTGGGATAGGCGTGCTCCAAAACTATGGAAACAAGAAGGACACAGAAACCTGTGTCAGGGATATTCCCAACAGCTGCATAGTTTCTACTGTTCCGATCCAAGCAGATCTTAACTCATTTTCTGAAATATAACTTGGAAATACTGCCATTGCAAGGCTGAGAAGTAGGACTAGATCATCTGGGAGATTTGTATGAAATCAGTGTCCTTCTCCAGTCAGCTCTTAAGGGGAACAGTTGGGGTAGGTATGTCAGAACAGCATTGTGTTGGCCTGTGTACATAAAGAGGGTTAGTTGGAGAGGTCTGGAGGTGCTCCCATAAGTGAAGAGAATGGAGCGGGAATTGGAGCAAACATATGTTAAGTCTGTTAAAACTGAGTACATACATTTAAGGAGCATGAAGGGAGGGAAAGTTGATGTGTGTAGGAATGTACAATGAGAATGTACAGTTAAAACATGTATGAGCTGCCTACAGCCCATGGAGCCCACAGGGATGCCCCTGCCCCACTTTTCCCACAGCTGCCAAAAGGAGAATGGGGAACAGAGTGCCGTGGATAGGGGGGAGCCTTTAATCTCACCACCTACCCCTTCCCAGCAATCCTGATGCAGATCCTGTTTCCTTGCTGCAAGTAGCAGTGGGGAAATGGCTTTCTGGATCTGGATTGCAGTAGGGAAGGAACTTTAGCCTTCCCCCCCCACCCCTCCCAGTCCCACCCCCTGATTTCAGCAACTGCAGAAGAAAGCAATGAACCTCCTCATCCCAGCACTCTAAGACGTGTGAGGAGACAGCAAGAATGTTCAAGCATGCATCTGGCCCTCAACCGGCACTGCACGCAACCTTTGGGTCCAAAGGCTTGCCCAACCCTCATTTAAAAAATTCTAGCCCAACCCTTATTGGTTACGATTATACCATCAAATATCAAAGGATTATGCCATCGAATAAGCAAATACAAGTAAATGTATCTTCTCTGGAGCAGCTGACACTGTGGTATGAGGTTATTCCTTTAAGCCAGACCCCTTTTTAACAGCATCTCTTACCCTGGGAGCAGCAGAGAAGACAGCCTGAGGGAGCGGAGGAGGGGGACTGAGCTTGTTCTGCAGGACACTGGCAGATACGATCTGCGCAGATGACATAGAAGCCATGCTCTGCAGAGCTTTGTCCTTCGAGACCTGATCCTTCAGAGCAAGACAGAAGAGAAACAGAAAGCAGAGTTACTACTCCAAATCCTGAGAGTCCAGAAAAGCAGCAGTCATCCAGAATTAAAGGACAATTGGCATAATATTACTTTGTATCGCCATCCTGAGATCTTTGTAAAGAACGGGGTAAAAATGCCTTAAATAAATACATAAATAAATAAAATTAACTGCTTGCATTAAAACTGTTCATTTTTGTACTGGGTTCAAAATACGAGGGTTCTTCAAAAAGTTTCTGCACTTTTATACTTAATATTTTATAAATATGTTTTATATATTTTTTGCTGATGGTATTAAAATGTTGGTATGGCACTTGGAAAAATGCATTGCAAAGGAAGATGACGATGTGGAAAAGTCATGTAATTTGTTTTTGAAATTCTTAATGAATAGAGTTTTAAAAAGTGCAGAAACTTTTTGAAGAACCCTCGTATATTGGCAATACCCCATGCATGCAGGCTGTTTCTCAGAACAGCCTAGCATTTTGCCACTATTTCCCCCCCAAGGCTCACTTTTGTGGGATTCTGCTAGCTATGGTGAATCAATTCGGTAGAGTAGTGCAACAAACCTGGAGCTTAGAAGAGCACAGTGAAAGCACTCATGCTCCTGTTCAAACACCTGAAAATATATTTGACACCTATTAAATTTTGCACTTCTAGCAGCTTTACACCTCGTTTCAGTCTTCATAAGAATTTATGTCTTTAGATCTTTTCCTTGGCAAAACCTATCCATGGGAAGTTGATGGAACAAAGACAAAACTGAGCTGTACTTACCAAGTTCATAGCCTGTGTGAAGGGGGGGAAAAAGAAAGAATATGGTTAGTGCCTTGATTATCATACTGGCCACTAAGATGAGGAGTGGGGAGGCTGCATAAATCATAATATTTATCAAAACAATGGTAAACCCATTATGGTGTGGTGGTTAGATGGTTCGACTGAGGACTCAGATGATCTGGGTTCTAGTCCCCACTTGGCCGTGAAGCTCACTGGGTGACTTTGGGGCAGTCACTGACTCTCAGCCTAGCCTACTTCACAGGGCTGTTATAAGGACAAAATGGAGAGGAAGACGATTATGTAAGCTAGCTCAAGTTCCTTGAAAGAGAAAAAAAGGCAAATTATACGTGTAGTAATAAATAATAAAACATCAGTGTAATGAAGGATGTACAGAGGGCAGAGTACCTGTCTTATATGCAGAAAGTCCTAAATTCAGGCCCTGGATTCTCCAGGTAGGGGTAGGGAAGAAGGCTACCCGAAACCTTGCAAGGAGAGCCTCTGTCAGCCAGGGTCTACAGGACTGGGCTTGATGAACCAATGGTCTGTCAGTATAGGACAGCTTTCTGTGTTCTTGTGTCAGATTTCACTGTTTAAAAATGCTACAACTGAGTCAGGCTGATTTCCAATGCAATCTTTTCCACTAAATCACATGAAGATCTGGGCCCATGGCTCAGGGGCAATGAAAAAGAAAGGTATGGAGGACAGGAGGCCTTTCGGAAGAGATAACTTTTTCTTATTTACCAATCAAGAGGGATGCACATAAAGCCAAAAAAACAAAAAACAAAAACACCCAAACAGACTCTTCTGCTTTGCAGTTCTACAAATCTGGTTCAGGCCTGAATATCAATGCTAACTTTCTTCCACATATTGCAAACTATGTTTCATGTCTGGTCATTGGTTTTTTTATTTGAAATTGACTTGAAAACATATTATACTCAAGCCAAATATTCTCTCTTTAGGCCCTGTATGCACCCCAGGATAAGGTTCAACATGATTAATTGTGGACTTCGAGTAGATTGGGCATTTGAGTGGTCAAAAAACACCTGATTATTGAACCAGGACCTCTTGACAGAATGGCCATGGATTATGCATTTTGATTCATTCTCAATCATTCCACCACTACTCCAATGGGCCCAGGGTGGCATCAACAGTTCCCCCACTACAGCTTTACAACAGTCCTGGGAAGTAGGTTTGGCTGTGTGTCTGTGAATGGTCCAACATCACCTAATGAACTTCATGGCTCACAGTGCAAAGTAAACTCTAACTCTGAGGCAATGTATTTATTTTTGTTAGAGAAAGATGAGCTACAACTTGGAATAAAGAAAAACTCAGAAGTGTTCAACCATTATATCCAGCCATCATAAAAAATTTACTACTGATTATAAGGCTAAAGGTAAGGGTAAAGGTAAAGGTTTCCCCTTGACATTAAAGTCCAGTCATGCCTAACTCTAGGGGGCAGTGCTCATCTCTGTTTCCTAGCCAAGGGAGCCAGCGTTTGTCTGCAGACAGTCTCCGTGGTCATGTGGCTGGCATGACTAAACACCGAAGTGCACGGAACGCTGTTACCTGCCCACCAAAGTGGTACCTTTTCATCTACTTGCATTTGCATGCTTTCGAACTGCAAGGTTGGCAGGAGCCGGGACGGAACAACGGGAACTCACCCCGTTGTGCAAATTTGAACTGGAGACCTTTCGATCAACCAGCCCAGCAGCTCAACAGTTTAAACCACTGCTCCACCTGCATCCCGATTATAAGGCTAGAGACTTTTAAAATCCCCTTTCACCATTCTGTGCTGTTCTTCAACTGCAAGAAATTTGACTATTGTGATGTAGACCATTATGCATTTGGAATGTTGGGCTTTAACCTACACATGTAGAACAATTTAAACTGCTTGTGTACCAGCCGAGAGCTTCTTTATTAGGGGGCAAAGGACAGGGAAACATGCTATCCATGGGATTCTTCAACCTGTTTACTGCAACTGCTAGTCTTAAACACTTTAGAAAGGCAAGGGGTTGAACAGTCTGCATAGTTCACAAGGCAGAAATCTCTAGGTACTTTCCAATACATTTATCAAATAACAAGAGGGAATGGAGAACCAATATCAGTTTGAAATACCCCCTCACCCTCCCTTAAGACACCACTTCCCATGTATGCCTTCTAACGGGCACCTTACTTGGCAAATCACAATACACAGAACAAAAAAAGAAAAAGGTTATAAGAAAAGTTAGTCAATCTCCAGTTACAGAAGAAGAAAAAAGAGGAAAGCCAACCACAGATGAAAAGGAAAGGCAATCACAGGATAAAAGCTCTCCAGTTTTATCCCTGCTCACCTTCCTTGGATCCTGGTCCCATGATCTCGCTCTAAGCTTCTTGAATCAGCACGAGCAATTCCTCTCGGCTTCTATGCTTCTCCACGCTAATCAGCTCATCCCATACATGGAACTACTTGGCAAAATGCCCATACCAGATACTATCAAGATTCAAATCCGTATGACAGATAGAGCCGCTAGTCCTGCATGTTCCTCTATCTGTAAGATAATGTAAACTATCCTAGGACTTCACTGTCCAGTGATAGCTTTTCTTTAATATGCTCAAGTCTTTCTTATTAAACAAAACCCCAAAATCTAGCAATCAGAATGTGTGCAACCACACTGGTTTTGTATAAACAATTTTTCTATATAAAAGACTTTAAAATGTGTTGAAGGGGCAGAATGGGCTTGATGCTTTGTTGTTTAGTAGTGGTTTTAATGTGTAGCTTCAGTGGTCAACCCTGCCTTTGAGCTGTGGTTCTGAACTTTCCACTAACCCAGTAGCATCATGAAAAGCTAATGCCATACAACAGCAGGCAATGAGCTTTTTTTTTTTTAAACAAAAGTCTGTTAATGGTTGCATCTACTTTCACTTTCATCCATAGAACTGGTATGGAAGCTTTATTCATTTCCTCCTTTCCTGATTTCCTGCTACATAACCACTAGGTCATGCTGCAGTGTAGCAGAAAAATACAATTACACAAGTGGGGAAATGCAATTTGTTTTGCTTTTTCTTGCTCTAAATTCTCTACTTCTACTGCAAAAGTGCTTTTAAAAAACAGGAATGAAACAGGAAGGTCATGATGTTGTCTAAAGAGCCCCTAAACAACTGTGGGTGAGGAATGACAACTGCACAATATATGCCTTGCAGAAGTGAGACAGAGACCAAAGGACAAGGGTGCCCCGGGGTTCTATGATCACTCTTAAAGGAGAGATTGCAATTTTCTACTGTCTCGCCACAATATGGGCCACCACCAATCTTATTTTGCTTCCCTGGTTATGGCAAGGTCCCAATTCTTATGGCTACAATGGGGCACTTGCATGGAGGGAGAGACTAAAGGCTGACAAATGGGATGGGGAAGACCAGCAGATGCTCATGGAGAAATCTAGAGCAGTCAATCCCCATACCACCAACCCAAGGACTCCAGTTGTTACTGGAAATGCACCTCTCCCATCCACCTGGGTGGACCTGGCTCTTGACTTGGGGTGGCTTCATGGTTTTGGAAGAAACACACTGGACTGTTTTGGGGCAGTCAGAGCCAGATTTTATCAAGTGGAGGTGCTCTATTGTATTCTCCTTCCTGTTGATTCTTCCCTCAGCAGGACTTTGAAAACGTCTGGTCCCAGGAACACAGGGAAGGGGGCAAAGACATAACAGGAAAAAAGCGGCAACCACAGAGCGCAGTATGTTAGTTGCCAGCATGGCCACAGCTCAAAGATGGGAAAGCCGGGGAAGCGCGTACCTTCAGCTTGGACTGAATCTCACGAGATTTCCGTCTGGCTAGAACCTGCAAGTGGCTAGAGACCTGCAGAGAGAAAAGCAGAAGGAGAGGGGAAAAACAGCAGAGCCGTCAACCAGAGGAAAGGAGAGGAAGGAGAGGGGGCTGCCCATGCTCACACACCACGGCGCATGGGCAGGGTCTCCAACGTACCTTAATGCCAACCTGGTACTCTCGCACCTTCTTCCGAGCTAGAACCTGTATATGGCTGGACACCTAGTCCCCGCCAAGCCATTCAAAAAGGAAAACACAAACAGAATGAAGATATGATCCCACACTGTTTAGCGCGACAACAGTGCTTCAAGCACCCAGGTGACACACACCGGCCTCCCAAGCCAGTTGAGTTTCCAGAGGAGGAGTATCAGCTCACAGAGTAAATGGCAGTTAATGCTGATGGAAAGGACCAACGGGAAGAAACTGCTGCAGTCCCAGTGAATGCAACGATGTGTAACATTTGGGAATGCTATCCCTGGGAAACAGCACTTGAGAATGTAGCCTGTGCAACAATAACTAGGAATGTCAACTCCGTATTTATTATATTTCAGAGACTTCTACACACTTCTGATTATGGTTGCGGGATTCACTCAAGCCTTGGACTGTGGCTATTTCCAGCATAGCATTTTGCTGCTTCAGGTGTGTACCACACGACCACTCGCCAAAGCTATGCAAACCCAGGCATATTTATTTAATAGGACAATTGACTCAATGGCTTTCATATGACCCAGAATATCCAGAGCTGAAAATGGCTTTCATTCAGGCTCTCAGAAATCTTAGTGTGCAGTTCTCCTGTGTACTGCTTTTTTGAGAAAAAAGAAATACTTTTCTGCTTTTTGCAAAACTGCCTTTGGAGACAGAGGGAACTACAGAAGTAGGGCTAAAACTATCATCAGCATCTCATGGGTTAATCACATTTACACCAGCCATAGATGTTGATAAGCATTAAGGAACCCAATTTGAGACAAAATTCTGAGTCTGCTTCCATGACCCTTTTAGTGCAAGGTATCACCATGTTTACACAGTGGTTTTTTACAATTAACCATTAAGATCGAATTTATGTCAGCCTTCGTATGTCAAGGGCCCTGAGCCATTTCTGCATACCAATTCACATAACCAACTAGTGGCCATTTGACTACTGAAGCTACATCTGGCCATGGGTTCTGCAAGGGTTGTTCAGCTCTAGTATAATCATGATCCCCAGGTTTGGAAAACATGGTAAACTGTGGATATAGCAGGAATATTAGACATGGTGACTGCATGCGCTGTGGCTTAAATAAGCCGCAATGAGTCCCAGCAAAGATATGAACCTGGCCATTGTCTATTGGCTATGAGACTATGACTTTGAGAAATAGATGAGTATTCTGAATAAAAAGCAATTTTATATTTACCTCCAGAAAGGATCTTTATGGGAATTACAATGCATAGTTCTGAATTATCAAAACACAGTGAGGATCTTGCAAATAATACACAGTTGAAATGGCTTTTTCCCTCCAAATATGAGTACAAAGATAAGAAAAAAAGAAACCACAGCAGCTTTTACCTATGGTTTTCCCTCACTGTATATGGACTAATCTGTTTCTGTACGACATCATTGTATACCAGTGATTAGGGATTGATGGTGAGGTACAGTAAGGCAGGCAACAGCAAAAGACAAGTGGTCTGCTCTTTTTCTCAAGGAAGCCTATACATTGCTTGCCAGCATGACTCCTCCTGCATGCCACAGGTCAGAAGGCAATTAAATATATTCTGGTTAATGTTAGAAGCCTGCTCCATTTACGCACAGCCTCAACTTTTGCCAGGGTCTTAGGGGCAGCAAGCCTTGGACATGAGTGGAGGTGAGAAGCACAGCTGTAGATACATGCAATGCAAAGGTCCTTAAAGCTCAACTCCACAAGAAGGGTCTCACTTTCAGCCAGCCCTGTGAGGACCAGTGTCTAGAAAATGCCCAGCACACGGATTTGACATTTTGAATTTCCTTATATTCAGGAAGGAAACAATCCAGAGATAAAGAAGGGGAAGCTGGTAAGATTTTTATAAATGAATGTTTTAGAATGTGTCACCTCTCCTACCATGCAACAACTTTCATCACAATGCCATATAATACAAGTTAATCTAGCTAATGAACACTGCAAGCTCTGCATGGAAATCGAGTGCCCACCACTGAAGCCTAAATCATCCTCCATTTCTCTTGTATGTTTACAGACTGAAGGGATGCATGGAAGAATTCCCTTGCCATATACTTGGTTGTGTGTACAGCTGCCTATCCAAGGATTTCTGCAATTGCAGTTCCTAAACCATCACAGCATATAAGGTTATGTACCTACCTACTGAAGATGAACAACAGATTATGTTTTTCATACTTTTCTGACAGATATCCCAGATTAGGGTTTCAACCTGATCTACTACCAACTGTTCCATGAATTCTAAATTCAATCTAAATTGCATAGATTATACAGCAGGAATGTGTTGTTTATTACAAGAAGTACAAATGTTTTCTGCCACCTAGAAGCTTGCCTATAGGATTTTTTCAGGTTTCTGTCTCCTAAACTTTCAGCTGAGCACTAAAGCTGAACCAAAAGAACAGGAGTGATACAAACTTATTCAAACAGCAACAGAGCTGCTCTAAGTTCCAAAGGATGCCTCCAGCCTGCATTTGGTACAATCTGCTGCCATTATTTACGCAGCCAGCAAGTAAACTCTGATTTGTAACTAGTTTGCATTCCACTTTTTCCTGACATTAAAACTGGAGTCTCTCTTCCTGGGGATTGCCCCATCTTGTTCACTATTAAAGTCTTTTTCTTTTCATTTATCTGTGAACTTGAGTCAACAGACCCATGCACCAATTTACCTGGACAGCGTTTACCTGTCTGCTTCATGATATAGAATCAGATTCCTTCCCTTTAGTTTTTGGACACATTCATCAAATAAAGAAGAATGAACTTGTTCCATTTTAATGTTTATTAAGAAAAAAATCCACCTTGACATTCAAGGTGAAGGAGGAACATGTGTACCATGAGCAACACACACACACACACACACACACACACACACACACACACACACACACAATCCCCTAATTCCATGACAGTGAAGGACAAAAGTAAAATGAAATAAGCTTAATGCAAATGCTCATGCTGTTTATTTGTCTGCAGCTTCTATAGATCCAAGGAGTATCTACAGACAAGAGGACTGCTAGGTGAATTTTCCCCCCCAGACTGACCAATCCTCTTTGGAACGAAATACTTTTCACTCTGCCCATCTCCCACTTTCATGTGGCATCCTTCATCACAGCATGATGAAGGATGAAGCTTCTGCTTCAGGATTCTTCTTAGTTTAATGATACTTTCAAAATAGTATTACTTGGTACTGCTCCCTGCAGGGATTCTGGATGAGGGCTCAGGCAGGCTGAATAACAAAATGGATCTGGGCAAACAGTGCAGCCGTGGGTTTTCTCCAATTCTTCCTGATTCTGGAAGGAAGTTTTTTAAAAGCCAGAGCCGATTTTGCATGTTTGAAATGCTGCAAGAGAATTGGGGGGTTGACTCCTGTCAGTGAAGATTCCCTGGCTTTATATTGTGGCTTCCAACCAAAGATCCAAAAAATATTAAATAAAGCCAGTTAAGCTTCTCTGAAATTTTATGTGAGATAGGCAATCATCCTTTATGTTTGGAAGAATGATATCAAAGGTGAAAGAGGTATCCAACAGCAGCCTAGTGACTGAAATCACTTAGTCAAGGGGCTTCCTTGTATAATTTCTGCTAAGCCAAATCCCACAATCTACTTCAATGGTACATTGAATTATGGCTGCAGAACATGCATGTACATGGAAACATGCAAGCCCACATGGGTGATTTCAGCTGGCTTTTAAAGGACTTCACCCTCGTTCTTCCCTATGACATTTTTTAAGGAGCAGAAAATCACTAAGTACATTTTTACCTGCTTTCTTGTCCTTGTTTTCCCCGTCCGAAGCTTGATGTACCTTGCTATCAATTCATTGCGACCTAATGCAAAGAAAGCAAATAGAAAACATGGTGAAAACCAAAACCTTCCTCCCACACATCCTAGAGTAGAAAAGGCTGCCCTCTGAGAAGACACAACCATCTCCTTTGCTTCCTTAATCTGGAAAACACCCAACGTGCGATTTCTAGTTTAATGAAATTTTACCAGAAGGTGGTGCTAACACAACACTTGGCCAAATGAACAAGATAGCCGGGAAAGGCTGTGCTTAAGGCCCAGGTTGCTTATGTATCAAACAAGCACTCCACAGAGGATGGCAAATGAACATGAAACCACGCTGTGCGTGTCGTGCCTTCTCAAGCGGGACAAAAGCATGGGGCAGCCAGAAAACCAGCGGAGGGGCACTGCTCTCATTGTGTTTGTTAAATGACATGCTCCTGCAAAGCTGGGAAAGGGAGTCCCAAGACCCAGTGGCCATTGCTGAGGACAATCCCACGAACCTGGATTGCTTTTTTGCCTGGGGTGCTCTGTCTCGCTGTCTGTAAGACAGCTCTGCCTGGCTTTCCAAAGGGATCTCAAGAAAACGTTGGGAGTCAAGGCGCTATCAAAAAGAAGAACGTGGAGCTTCCTCGAAGCTTGGGGTCTGATTTTTGCGACACCGAACAGGACAGCACACAACCCCAGGGGGCATTTTGACTGGCATGGGTGTTTTAAAACAGCACTTTCCAACCTCCACGTCCTAATTTGAAGCAGAAGAGCTTTTGCTCCAGATTTTACAAGCCAGCTGTGGCCAATCTAAATTCAAACGTCAGAGCAGCTGGGAGCTCTCTTTCCCTTCATTCCCCTCCCCTATGAGTGTTGTGGGGGTGGGGAAGAATGGGGAAGGGGAAGCATGCCAGATTTATTTTAATGGACCAGATGGTGGTGGCTGGAGCTAGCTCAAATGCCCTCGCAGCTAACTTAGAAGATCTCTTAAAAAAAAAAAAAAGACAGAGCGACGAAGCAACTGTAATTGCCAATGCCCTGTATTCCTTTCAGGGCAGGCTCTGAATGTTAGTTCTGAGAACAGGCTTCTTTCTGTAAATGAAGACATACGGCGGCGATCCCTCGCCCAGGCCTCTCCCCGCCCCCCACAGCCAGCCCTCCCCCCCAACACACAATCCCAGTCTTCAACAGACAAGGCCAGGTGCTCTGCACTGCACTGTAGGGCTATGGGGTCAAACAGTACCATGTGAGAAGGAAAAAGAAGGACGATACCACACTGAAGTAACAATGCCCTCATCATAAAAGCCAGCTGTCTCACAGCACTCCCCCTGACATGTGCCGTTCCTGACATGAGGGGGGAAAAGCCGTCCTCCGTGCACTTGCTTCTCCCTGACGGGGGTGCAGGGAGGGGCAGCGTAGCTCTGCGAACCTCTCAGTACGTCAGAGTTCACAATACGACCCTGCTGACAGCCCGGTCCGGTCTGGACCATGCCTTAGCAGAGCCTCCTTTCCTCGAAGGACAAGTAGAAGTATCTGTGAGTAACTGCCCCTGTGTTCTACGCTCGGGACAGGCAAACCTGCTAATGTTGGATTACAGCTCCCATCAGCCTCCACCAACAATGGGCAATGGACAGGGATTATGGCAGCCAAAGACATTTCGAGGGCGCCAGGTTGCCTGCACTGTTCCAGGCTGTGCACTACTGTAGCATCACATGCAACTCAGAAATACTCTATTTAAATTCGTGTTACAACCCCCCCCCCCCCCCCCGCAATTCACAGCTGAGGAAAGGGAGGCACAGAGCTCAGATAATCACCATGGAAGCTTGAAGAACCACCCCTGCAATTTTAATTGAGAAGAAAGTACTCTTCTTCTCCATATTCATGATTTTTCTTACACATGCATTTTGGACTAAGAAAGATTAATTTGGGAAGAGTCTGGAGAGCACTGGAGATACTGAGAGACTGGTGCTTCTTTCAGGGAAGCTGTCACAAAGCTATAAAATGTGCCAATGCAACACAGCAGTTCCGTATTAAAAGCACCCGTGTTTAGCCTGACAACTGTTTAACTTTTTAAGATCTCCAGGATTTAAAACTGTTAAGAGCTCTAGATTAGACCAGCCATTGTATATTGAAATAACTATACTCATTGCATGGGTGTGTGTGGATGGGGGGGATAAAACAGATTTTCCACCTACACAAATGCCTGTTAAACATCCCACACTAAAGGGAAAAGCAAGCAAGCAAACAAAAAGTACCACCAAATGAACATGAATTATCCTTTGCTCCTTCCCCATGACTGGGCCAGTTTCTCCAGTCCACAGTTCCTATGCAGTCCACTGTACAACAGCAACTCATTTATGAATTTGCTTTAGTTTAGTAACAAAATTATCTATTGATTCCTGCTGCTTCATCAAATTTGTACTGCCAAAACTGGTACCTTGCATTGTTTTCTTTTTGCTCTTGGTTCACAATAATTCATAGGGTGGTCGTGTACCCTACTTTAATGGTGACTGCCCCATTTGAAGACATCATCTATGTGCCAGTTTGTCCAATCCCAGTGAAAAGTGAACAAAACCAAAGCAGTAAGGGAGAAGCAAGGGACTTGACACTGGCCGTCAACAACTGGCACTTGACAGCAGACTGTATTTTTATTTATATTATTGTAATGATTTCAAAATGTGCACCTTTACATATAAATTAGCAACTGTGAATATTATGCAAATCTTTTTGTCCTCCTCTTTGTGATGCATGTCCCCTTTTGAACAATACGCAAGTGGTTACCCTGTCCTTGAATGCATTTAAGCTTCTGCAGGGTTTTTGCACTGCATTACATTCCAATGTAATGAAAGGCTTAAAGGCAATTATACAATTTCAGGCTGAGTGGTAGTTTTGGTGACAGTTAGGGTGGCTGAACCTTCTGCATCCACCTTCCTATTTCACCAAGATTACCTGTTAAATAAATTTTGCTGGTGGCATCAGCAATGACACTGGGCACTGCCAAAGGCCCACATCCCAAGAAGGGCCCACTGACAACAACCCCGTGAGTTGTTTCTCTTCATCACGGCAACCTCTGTGCAACTTGCCTTTTGCTCTGGCCCTGAGGGTGAGGAGGAGAAGTGGCAGTAGGTGCCACTGCCACTTGCACACCAGCTTTCTGTTTGTCAAGCAAATAACTGGCAGTGATGATAAGGAGAATAAGGACATTAGAAATCGGTGACAATAGCATTGAGAGGCTTCGCTCACTAAAGGAGAAGGCTCACTGAGGTTGCCTTGCCGAAGGGAACTCAAAACCTGGACCCAGCACTGACTGGCATAAACTGGTCCACTGTATGCAGATATAAACTGATACAGATATTCACTGTTGTCTGCTACATGCCTGCAGAGGAATGACTAATTCACAGAGGAAACATGACCACTCTTCATGCCATATGGTATGCTTGTTTGTGTGTTTGTGAGCTCAGAGATTTTATATATACATGGTTTGAAGGAAAGCAGAATAGCACAATGTTGTCCCTATGCCCCTCTCTAAAAGCATCCCTGTAAGAAACAGAAACAGACCTTGACTTGTGCTTGTCCTAGCCATCAAGTACTCCAAAAACTGCTTCCAGCAGCTATCATTCACTTTAGCCTTTGAGGGTCATCTCCCTGCTCAGCATCCCAGCAGAAGCTAGCTGTGGTTGCATTGTTAGTTCTCTCCTTTTCAGCAGGCAACTTAGAAACAATCACAGGGCAAGTCTTTAACTCTCTTCTCAATTCTTTATGCAGGGTCTGTAGGACCTTCATCCTTCCTTCTTCAGTCTTCCAATCTTCTCTCAGTTTAATGGAGTTGCAATATGAGCTCAGACTGGATGAGTCTGAGACAAGGCCTGGGCTATTAGGTCCAACAGAGTGCTAGGCTTTATTCATTTAAAATATTTCTTGGCCACCTTTCAGGCCAGGAGTACACCCAAGACATACAACCGTAAAACTCAGGATCGACATAAAACTCACATGCATTAATAAAGATAATAAAAAGAGCAATCGCAAACTAGGCACAAAGCCTCCAGAGAAACTGAAGAGTCAGATATTATGCTCTTGATCACATCCCAACTAGGAACTTTTTGAGCAGCCATTTTGTGAAATGCCCAGCCCCCATTAACCTGCAGTGCATCCTAACAGTAAATATACACAGAACCTACATCATATTTTACAGGGATGGCAACCATTTTATTACCAATAGCAAATCCTGCTCACTGCAGTTATTTCTGTGGAGTGTGTGAATTTGCCCATCACTTATGCCATGGGTCCTCAAACTACGGCCCGCAGGCCGGATTTGGCCCGCCATGCCCATTTATCCGGCCCGATCTCTGAGTGACTCCAAAAACTCTGACCCGGAGCAGGCATTCTTTAAGACTGAGCAGAGAGAGAGCCGGCGCATGCCCAAATTGCAAAATTGCAACAGCTCAACTGCGTGTGCACCGGCCCCCCTCCCCCATTGCACGCATATACAGAGTAGGAATACGGAGCGGGAAACAGAAGAGAGGTGAGCAGAAGCGAAAGAGAGATGAAGATGAAGAAAGGATTGAAGGTAACAGAAATATGACTTTTAAAATCTATTTTTAATTATGCAAGCCTGGGGGCGGACAGGCTGGGGGTGGCCGGGCCTGCACCCGCCGCCACCTTTCAAATGGCCCCCTGTTGAAAAAGTTTGAGGACCCCTGACTTATGCTTTTTGTGGGGTGGAGGGGTTTAGCTTTGGGAAGGTGTCTTGTGTGAATTGAATGATCATGGTTTTTGAGGGACAAAGTCACATTCTTTGCAGGGCTACCGACTTACAGGAACACTGCTATGATCTTTGCCTGGTTAGTTGCCACCAAGCCCTACAGCAATAACCCCAAGAGATGCATTAGCACAAGTATTGTCTCAAGAGGAAGAACAGGGCCTGACTGCACAAACAGAAAATTTAAACCTGCGTATCTATTATGATATATCAACACTGGCTGGCTGAGACCCCACACCCACTGCTTCCACTGGCTTCAGAAAAAGAATACAGAGTGCAAGCCAGGCCTAAGGTGCAAGA